ACAGAAACAATCACAGAACCACTGAACGCATCCAATGAAGTGAGCTGTAGCTCTCGAAAGCTTATGCTCAAATAAATTGGTTAGTCTCTAAGGTGCCACAAGTACTCCTTTTCTTTTTGCGAAGACAGACTAACACGGCTGCTACTCTACAACCAGACAGAGATTATACAGACAAACAAAAGGGAAATGGGGACTACAGTGATAGAACAACAAAGAAATGAGGATTTCACATCCCAGCTATTGACAAGTGAGTTCTTGCCAGATAGGATGCTATCAAACTAAGTTTCCTTTTACATCTTCTAGGCACTTCCCTTTCTCTGGAGGTGACAGGCATTATCAGGACAGGATTGTATTCCTAACAGCCCAATAGCACCTTCTTTCAATGTGACTGGTTTGAAATGTCAGGATGTGACAGGTCACTTCCCAGCTTATGGCTGCCTCTGCTGCTTAGCCAGAGATCTTAGCCTAAGAACAGGGCCTCAGACTGTCACAGTAAGAGAAGGCCCTTACACCGGCAGACAGTGATTTTGATTCTTTTTATACCTCTGTAACTAGCTAAGTGATAAGAATACACCTAAATTAGAACATAGGCCTTTGCAGACAGGCCTGAATATCTATATCCTAACACCTCACAAACCCGGGCACCCCCGGGAAGCATCACAGCTTGCAAATATGCTTTGGCAATCGCCTGATGTATAAAATGAGGGCTTGAACATTGTCCTTGTGGTCCTGTGGGGGTGGTCAATAAATTGGGAGAACTTGATGTTACTGGCATAAGTTATACTTCACCAGCAAGGCATGATAGTTGGTGACCCTGATTTGTAGCTCAGCCAAAGAGTAGCTCTTGTGGCTCAGAAGGGCCAGGCACTTGAGTTCTTTCTGATGAGGAATAGATATTGACTTTTGTTGTCCATTTCTTTCATTAACTGGGTTGACCACCAGGGAGTTATGGGGTGGAAAAAAAGATATTCTGAGCCTTTGGCTGACACAATACTTTTTGTCAGCCCTCTTGTATGTGGGGGGGATGGTAACAGATGTCTGCCATGTCGTATGGACTGATGACAAGAGGGCATCATTAATAGGCAGGCTATCATTCCTTGAGACGTAGTATGCAGGATATCCACTAGAAAGAGCTGAATCTCCTGTATCTTCTCTAGGGGAATTTGCAAAGTCTCAGACACCCTTCCTCTTCAGTTCTTGAAAGACTTTGAAATCATCTGCATAGAACGGGGAAAGGGGAATAACTGCCTTGTCTGGAGAGAAAGAGGATTTATTGGAAGGAGGTGCTTCCTCCTCATCTCTTAGCGCTTGATCCTCTGAAAGATATCTGTGAGGAACAGGGACTTCCTGGGGAGGAGTTTCCATGGAACCAGTGGCTGGTCCTCTTACTTGAGGGCACGCTATAAAATTGGTCACTGTAGGGGACCCAAGGGTCCCAGAAAGCCCAGTGAGGTGAGGCATTGGGAAAAGAAGGACCCCAAGGGTGTTCCAGACATGGTTTACAAGTTAGGCATCAACTAGTTCCTGGCAACTTGTCCTCTGGGTACATCACTGGGGAGGGAGGTTGGAATGCGAAGGTGGTGCAATCTTGGGCAGAGATGTCTGATTCCGAGGATGTGTCATGAAGGGGCTAAGGGTATCACTTACTGGTAGTTGAGTCGGTACCAGTGGTCGAGTCAGCATCAGTGACTGAGTTTTTGTGAGAGAGTGCAGCAGTGCTCGTTGGTAAGTTGGGGCAGGCGGTGTCAGGGCCGGGGCATGTGTGGTCTGGCCTAGGGGTTAGTATCAGGCACAGGCCAAGGGTCCAGGAGCCAATTACCTGGAATCAGGCTGGGATAGAATGAACCAAAGGGCAGGAACCAAGAGTCAGGCCAAGTCAGGATACTAGGAGATCAGGGTCAGATGATGGAACCAGAGGGCAGGAACCAGGAGGCAGTTACCAAGAGTCAGGATACCAGGTCAGGCTTGGAAGACAGGAACAGATAAATGCGATTCATGGCAAGGTGAAGCCCAGTTGTACAGACAACTTCTTGTTTCCTCCTCTGGGTTAAATAGGGGCTGTGGCCCAATCCGTAGCTCAAGCTATTTAGTCTAAGAAGGAGAAGGTTAAAGGGTGACTTGGTTACAATCTATACATACCTACATGGAGAACAATTATTTGATAATGGGCTCTTCAATCTAGCAGAATACAATGCAATCCAATAGTTGGAAGTGAAATTAGAGAAATTCAGACTGGAAATAAGCTGTAAATTTTTAACAATGAGGGTAATTAACCATTGGAATGGATGGATTATCCATCACTGGCAATTTTAAAATCCAGATTGGCTATTTTAAGCTACGCTCTAGAAATTATTTTGGGGAAATTCTATATGGTCTGTGTTATACATGAGGTTAGCTTGGATGATCACAATGGTCCCTTCTGGTTGGAATCTAAGAATCTGCCAGGACACGATGGCATCTCAGGGAAGCTTCCAATCCCGCAAATGCTGGTTGAATATCTCTGAGCTCCAGTAGGTGTATGTGATGAGGTCTACAACGCCCCCCCCACAAAATACAGGCAGTTAAGAACCCTACCTGTCTGCAGACACCAAACCTAGCCACACCCCAGCTCAGCTGTGAGAAATGCCAATTATGGATCCACACTCACAGCTGTCGTGACTAGTGGGGAAAAGCCCAACTATGCAGAGGAAGGAACAGGAAAGAGCTTGGGACTGCTAAGAAGCAGTAATTTTCTCCCAGCCAGCGGAATTAGCAGCAGACTGCCTCTGAAAGACTATTAACCTCCTTGGAGGGACAAGGGAGGTAAACAGAGACAAAAGCCCTGAGGATCAAGGGCCTTTGGACTCTTTTAAAATGTATGTTTACAGTAAGGTGACCATATTTTGTGAACCAAATCCAGGGGTGCACAGGGATGGGACCACAGCAAAGTAGCCAAGACTGAAAATGTAAGTTGTGGAGTGTAGCGAGGCAAATTTTTTTAGCAGCTTATATTTTAACAAATATGCATATAATCACCACGGATGTGACATCACACTGAAGAAGTGCATTCAGATACTAGTGACAAACAAGACTAAAACACTATTCAGGAATGGCAGTTTTCCATACCCAACATCCATACGGCCTATTTAAAGAATCTCTTTCTTGGCCCCACTGCCAATGCCATGTCATGTCCCCGGGCAGTGGCTTGTGCAGCTGCCGCCCCATTGGCAGCAGTGCAGGGACGTGGGGTGGTAGCAGCGATGTTTGAGGGGGACGACTCCACCCCACGGGGAGCCTAATGTGTCTCCACTACAACCTGCCCCTCCAATCAGGGAGTGATGACATGTCATGTGCTCACTCTGCAGACTAATAAGAGGGCAGCGCTGTAGGGGCCCTAATTCAAATTCTTTTCTACTTGCCGTGGAGATAGCTGGGCCATGGAGTTGTGACTTGTGGGCCCCAGGCCTGACCAGGCAACCCTGCTGGTAAGTGCCTGATGGAGTCCTGCAGCAGCCCCTTGTGCTGGGGCAGTGAGAGTGGCATAGCCCTTCCCCCTCTGCGCCCCCAATCATCACACACCAGCCTCATGCCCCCCACCCGAGTGGTCCCAATCTCTCCCTCACCCTGGCCTCATGCCCCCACCCCTTAGTAGTCCCTGGAGCCCCCCCACCCTGGCCTGGTGTCCTCCCCACTCCGGTCGGTTCCTGAAGTCTTGTCCCCTAGCTCATCACTAGATGTCAAGGAAGAGCTCATTCAGACCATGCTTATATCTGGTATAGCTAATAGTAATAACAACAATAATGGAAGCGTTCTGGATATTTCTCTCCAGCACATTTATGCATTAGACTGGGGTGGCCAACCTGTGGCTCTTCAGAAGTTAATCTGCGGCTCCTTGTATTGGCACCCACTCCAGGGCTGGAGCTACAGGTGCCAACTTTCCAGTGTGCCAGGGAGTGCTTTTGCATCATAGGCCTATTGTAGGAGTGCATGTTTGACTGGGGAAGGAAATATATCTGACAGAGAAGAGAGCTGATGCCATTTTCTCAGAATAAGTGACTAGAAGACTTAAGAATTGCCTGGCTTGGTGGATCAAGACTGCAGAAGGTGGCCATGATCACCACAGGAAACACCTCCATGAAACTGCACTTGGGGAACACAACATCCTGGAGGGCTACCCACGGGGGCTGTATGTCCTGAGATATGAAAGCTTTCTCTACTTTGGTGTAGGTAACCATCCTGAGATGGAGGTATTTTCCTGTCAGTAAGGAGCCCCCCCACACACACTTAGCTTGTGCTAAGAATGCTCTTAATAGAATGTCGTGTAGCATATTTCCACCTGAAAAAGGCTGGCCACTTTTCTAGCCTTCTTCTTGGCGATGGAAGGGAAAAGAAGAAAAAAAAAAAAGAGAGAGCGAGCTGGAGAACTGTTTTGAGAAGTAGGATGACACACAGAGATGGGAAGGTGTTGCAGCTATTATGGTATTCTCTCTCTCTCTTCTTAAAAGGGGTGTGTGTGCGTGTGTGTATATTCAGGGCTTATGGAAAATCAAAGTCCTATTTATTTACATAGCAGGTCTGTTACCGACAGTGACAGGTTGTATTTCCATATGCTTTCCTAGCAATGTCTATACACCCAAATCTAGAAGAAATGCTTCTAGGAATTAGGAGCTTGTTCAATCCCTGTCTTCCATTAAACCTCTGCTGAAATTACTATCAAGGAATGACAATTCTGCCAACCTGGGGTTTTGACTAATGCCCATTACCAAATATCTGAGTTCCACCCACTTAACGGATTGGCAAATGAAATCCCTAAGGGAACAATTTGTGGCAGATTCTTTGACACATGCGCACTTGGAAACTGGACTGTGACCACCAAACTCATTTCACATAGCCTACCTAAAATCTTGGAGTGTCTGCTAACTTGGCAGTTTTTTGCCCTGTATGTAGAGACATAAAACCATTAGTTCAGGCTTTCTCCTTTGTAGGTGTACAATAATGGAAAGGGAACAGACAACAAAAAGTATTAATAATGCCTGTGCAAATTTAACCTTTATTATCTGTTCACTGTATACAAAACACCATTGCTGCATAGTGATAACTTATTTGCTGTACAGTTGACAGTGCTCATCAACAAACAAGTGTTAAAGAGGTATACACTTAACAAAAGGGCAATGATAGCCAGTGCACATAACTGACAAAAACATACCAGGAACCTGCAACTTCAGCTATAAGCTTTAGCATACAGAAGTACTGCATAACCACCTAATACTTGAGTAGTGTATAAAGGGGATAACAAGCATCTACTAATCAACCAAATTAGGAACATGGATGGAGAGAAAAGGTAGAGCTAAAGTTTCTGATATACAACACAGAATGGCAAGAAGAATTTTTACATAGAAGCTCAGGTTTCTAACGCTGTTAGAATTTAATGATAAATAACAGAATCTCACAAATCTTTAGGGGCAAAATGCGCCACATTTATTTACATATGAAATGTACTTAATACAGTTATAATGGACATAGTGTATAGTAACATTTGAGAGCAGCAAGACTTTTAAAGAACCGAACAGTTACTACAGTATATCATGCGGATATCTATATATACACAATTTTTTTTAAAAAAGGTACAAAATTTGTTTAGGGATCCATACAAGGTATAAAATGCAAAAGCAAACAAACAAAAATATAACTCTCACAGAGAACTATATATGAAAGGGACAGTATGGTACCTTTTCTGTACTTCAAGAATGCATAACCAGTAATATTAGGTATACTTTTTGAAATGACTGAACTAGTTTCAGATGGTCTGTGCTAATGTCGAAAGGCCAACTTTTACTGAAATAGGCTGGTGTATTACCTTCTTAACAGTTGTGGTTGGACAATTGAGCACCAGAACACTTGGCATTAGCATACAGAGCTGGGAAATACCAACTCTCACAGCCAAGGAATTAAACTATTTTCTTTCAAGAGCCAGAAGAAAGGAAAACACACAATGCTGTGTACTCGCTTCTATATAACGTTAAATAAATTATATGACAAACCCCACCATAATTATAAAACGTATTTATCTAATTACATCTTATTTGTTTAATCCACAGCAGCCCAGCCTTTCTGTAACAATTTTAACTTTGTGTGACCTTAAAGACCTCCTTGCAGGGCCTAAACAAATGATGTAGTGATGCCCAGTTGTGCAGTAACATTTTTTCAAAAGTGCAATGACGTTCTAAGGAGTATGCACTCTGAATAGTAAACACCTGGTATTTCTGGTGTTACTGCCTAAACACTGTATTCTTTATAGATGCAGTGACTATTCCTTACGGAAAGATTTTCAAAACCACCTGAAAGATTTAGAAGCACGAGTCCCATTGATCTTCAAAATCTTCCCTATACATAAAAGCACTGTTTTCTGGTGCAGTTTCATTAACTAAACTTTCTTTCAGAAGCATTTCATATATAAAACAGTTTAACGGAACCGAAGGAACTACCCCTGTGTTAAGAACTCTGTTTTAAAGAAACTTACTACAAAACAAACAAAACAAAAAACGGATTTTCCACTAAATAGCAATACAAACACGTAACAAAGAGTATAAAAATTGTTAGTTTAAATATATACAAACTCTTTTCAACTCAAATACTGTTTTGATGCTTATTGAGCATATAGACAATGAGGTGAAGAGGATACATTTATGTAGAATATATTGCAACAGCCTGAACTGTACTGTTAACACTATTATATGGAGAACTTTCTGTAACAAAAATGTCATTTATATTCCAATGTGGAGACGGATTTTTGCTTCTCAAATATCTGATCACTTTTCAGCTGAACTCAATCTTTTAGATTTAATGAAGGCCATGCCATGTGTTCTCATATGAGTATTTAAGGCCGCTTCAGTTTCAAATGTCTTTGCACACACTTTGCATTTTCGGTCTGATACCATGTTGTCAGATGATTCATCTTCATGATTGGGTTTATTTTCTTGTTGATTATCCTCCCCAGACCCGTTCTGTTTCGATACTGGCTGAGGCTCCTTCAGCTTATGTACAATGAAGAGATGCCTGGAGAGAGATACATGAGAGGTATAGCAGAGGCCACATTCCCTGCACTGATACGAAGAGCCATCAGATTTGTGCTGAGGGATATGTTCATGAAATTGAAGAAGATTTTCTGTTGTAAAGCCACACACAGCACATTTGTGGACTTTAAAAACATTTATCTTCAACTTCTTCAATGGCTGTGTGATTGCTCCTCTGGGAGGCCTGAATTCCAGTATAGGTTCTTCCAACTTACGCTTTGGACTGGGAACCTAAAAAACAACAAAAATGTATTTATGCAGGTATAAATACACAGTTCTCATGAATATTCACCACTTGTGGACTTAAAAACCTTCCATGGGTATGTTCCAAAAACCCCCTGCTAAATCCAATCTCTGAAATAGTAAAAACAACCATCTATGTTAACAAGAATCAGTTCCTTAATATATTGTACAAGAGATTGATTTTGCTAGCTAAGTAACAGCATTTGGTGCATTGTACAAACAGGAATAAATGTTTTCCAGTATTACTGTTTTAAAATATAATATTCAATGATACAGTAATGATGGACATATTTAGAATATCTTTCTATCAGCACTTTAGTGCTTACTCAGAAATCTCAATCTTAACTGGATTTGATTTTATTCCATGCATGACGATGATGACCGTAGATCACCTCCTGACTGTTTGTGGCCAAAAGGAGATACTGGAGAAAGATGAATCACGGAGTACAATTTTTAATTACTACCAATCTGTTTCTTCATTTTATTGTGCAAGAGGCATATTTTTCAAAAATCCTTCACTTACCTGTTTGGCTCAGAGAATCCACGTTATATTTCAAGATTATATACCTAACATGACCCTATTTTCAAAAATGTTTTTAGAAAGCGGGGACAATTTCATGGCAACATTTTTTAGGGTAGTGAAACAGTCACACATAAATTCCCTTTTTAAAAAATGTGTGCTGGTGTCATCACTATCAGCCTCTGACTCACAGACATGTATATTTCTTAGGGTACAGAATGAGTTGATCATAACACACTGAACAAGTGTCATTAACATTCACCCTGGGCAACTCAACAACTCTGATAGCACCCTATAGCCATTTTAGTTTTCTCTTCACTCCTACCATTCTTCATCACACTGAACACTAATTCCACTCTACCATTTATTTCTGGTAAACACAGACAACATTTTACTTAGTATGGAAATAAATTTTGATAAAAAAATTCAAATATTTGATTGATGTAATGGGAAAAAAAATGGGAATATTCCAGGTGTCCTGAAAGAAATTCCCAGGCATTGAATGGAAAACGAGGCCTGTCTCAATAAAACCAAGATACTTAATATATACCATGAACATTCCAAGCTCTGTTTTTGGATCAGTGTTCCTCTGGCCAAGGACGATTGTTCAGTGTTAGTCAACACCACTCACTCATCCGGCACTGCAGGAGGACTGCCTTATTCTATGGATTACTTTAAGTTACAACTTTAAACTAAGCCTAAATTGGTATTATTACTATGTCATGGTTGTTCAGCGTCCTATGTGAAATGAGTTTGGTGGTACCAGTTTGCCAACAAACATAGCTTCTAGCTAAGCTGTAGCTGTTTGGTTGATAAAGGATTTTGGTTTGCAAAGCTTCCAACAGAGCACCTTTAAAGAGGTGCTATGGAAACAACTCATCAAGAGAGAGGCTGAATTCTCTCTCACTTGAAGTCTTTAAGTCAAGACTAGATGTCTTTCTAACAAACATGTCTTAGTTCAACCACAAGCTATTGACCTGATGCAGGCCTATGTTTTACAGAAGATCAGATTAGACAATCATCATGGTCCCTTCTGGCGCTAAAATCTATGCATCTATAAAAAGGTCTAACTTCACACAAACAAGAAGGGACCAAATAATTCATTGTTGAAAGAGGTTCTCCTAAAGTGTTTACCTTTGTGTCTTCTTTTACTTCACTTTCTTCTATATTGGTTGATTCTGTCATTTCTTTCACATCAGGGTCTTTAATGCCATGCATCAACTGAATATGTTTTTCTAACATCAGTCGTTTAGTAAAAGTGCGTCTTGAATCTGGGCAGTGCCTGTATAAGTGCAAAGCAGACATACATATGGTCAAATGTTTACCTTTTTTATAAACAATCTTTATAAAAAAAAAAAGACACATATGAAGTAGTCATAGAATCATAGAATATCAGGGTTGGAAGGGATCTCAGGAGGTCATCTAGTCCAACCCCCTCCTCAAAGCAGGACCGATCCTCAATTAAATCATCCCAGCCAGGGCTTTGTCAAGCCTGACCTTAAAAACTTCTAAGGAAGCAAAAAGCAATATGCTAGATCAGCGGTTCTCAACCTTTCCAGACTACTGTACCCCTTTCAGAAGTCTGATTTGTCTTGCATGTTCCAAGTTTCACCTCACTTAAAAACTACTTGCTTATAAAATCAGACATAAAAAATACAAAAGTGTCACAGCACACTATTACTGAAAAATTGCTGACTTTCTCATTTTTACCATATCATTATAAAATAAATCAATTGGAATATAAATATTGTACCTACATTTCTGTGTACAGTATATAGAGCAGTATAAACAAGTCATTGTCTGTATGAAATTTTAGTTTGTACCTGACTTCGCTAGTGGTTTTTATGTAGCGTGTGGTAAAACTAGGCAAATATCTAGATGAGTTGATGTACCCATTGGAAGACCTCTGGTTGAGAACCACTGTGCTATATTATACACAAGTGGGACAGCCCAGAAACTCTGGTTGTCATTCAAATTCAGAGTTGATCCATGCATTCATATAATAAATTAACTGATCTAACTGAATTAATTAGATGTTTGGTTTTGCATAAACAAGAAGTGCAGATAAACTGACAACAGCCTCTACTTTTCTCTTTACCTTTGTCTCCATTGATCTTAAAGAACATTAAAAGTAAAACTTACGAGCAGGTATAAACTTTCCTAATGCCTTTGTGTTTGATACGATTGTGGCGACATAGACTATGGGATGAACTGAAAGATTTGTCACATTGTCGACAAGGATGTTTCTTCATTTGCTTTAAAGAAGGGAAAAAGAAGAAAATATTAAGTAGCAAGGTAATCAAAGGCAGTATATATTCTCAATCTTTTAAAAATAACAAAGTAAGGTTACTTACCCAGATCCTTTATTCTTCGAGGACACTGCCTCTCTAGGACAACATTGTAGGAGTCACTGGTCCCAGAACAGTTTCTAAACTGTGTGACCATTAAGAGGCATGCACACGCCTACCTGTATTGTAAACTGTAGTGAAAAAAAGAGATGACCTTGCCCTCTTTTCAGTTCTTCTCTGCCACCAAAGATGGAGGGGGAAAAAGGGAGGATCAGTTTGAATTTACATAAGCAATGTTTTCAGATAACTCCAGTTACTATTAAATAACCCTTTCTCCATTGCCAAATTGCCTCTTCAGATTTTCACTCTGGTAGATTAGCAAGGAGCAGACAACTGCAGGAGGAAGGGTGAGGGATACCTAATTGAAAATAGACTGAAGCACTGCTTTGCCAAATGTGAAGGATGGTGATTTCATCTCACAACTTCGACTCATAGGAAAGATCCCTGAAAAGGCATGCAGAAAGATGGGGTATAGCATGGCATTCCATTGTAGGACATAAGCCTTCTTCATAATTTCGAGGATCTAATGGTTTTATATTATAGATGACCATGTGGAAGAAGGTGGGAAAAACAATCCCAAAAAGGAAGGAATGAAGCAGAACAATTTATGTCATTCATTCTGAGCTCTCAGGAGATTTTTTTCAAAATTGTACTTGCTTGAAATAGACGCAGCTGCAGGTGCCAGCATAGAAGCCCTCTATTGTGTTGAGTTTCTCTAAAAGAGAAAGATTAATGGAATCCTCTCTAGTGATGGTACTCCTAACAAGAATGGCCAGAGGGTCTCTAGTATCTGAAGAGCACTTCTTCCCACTTCTTCCCAGCTGCAAAAGCTCAAAGAACAAGCCATAGTTAATGTCCCCTATAACTGAGTTAGCATATCACCAATCCAAGAACTCAGCAAGTCAGTCCCTTAAACAGCAGGTCTATCACCTTGAGCTTGCAGCAAAGACACTGCACACTCATTGCACACTCAGGAGACTAGAAGGTTTACAATTAGAAGTTTATCGTCGCAGCCATAATTTAATCGTATTGACAGCTTAAACACTTCAGAAATTGATAAGTCAGTCCCCCACAGTCACCAATTAAAGCTTTCTTGCTTCCAGGCAAGTGGATTTTCTAAACCCTGAACTATATCTTTCTGTTTCAAAACAGTGACTCCTTAGGCCAGTTCGATAAAGACCTGGAACAGAGGATTGAAAGAAAAAGACAAAAAAAAGCTGACTGATCTAATGTAGATCACTTTGACTTAGATGATCCTTCTGAGTTAATTAGAACCAGGCTCCTGGTTCACTCAAACTATCCCCTCCCAACTAGAAGACTGTCAGATCCAAGGACTCTTTGCGTCTGAATATGCAACAGATCTGCAAGAACTGGGTTGGACCCTAGCTAGGAGTGCTGTGCCCATAGAAGGAAATCCAGATCACTCAGACACTGAGCTGAAGTGCTTTGATTTGAGGATGGCTTATACTTTCCATTCAGGTTCAAGTGAAAGGATGGCAAAGAGACATAGTCTGATCCAGAGTGTGCCTGGTGCCTAGAAGAAGAAATATCTGATATCTAGGATCATTTCTTCCTTTTCTGATAGAGAATACACCTTTCCTCCAAAGTGACTCAAACTTCATCTCCTTCCTCTTTTTTTCATGGGCACTGGCCAGGTAAATCAGAGTCTCCCAGTATTCCATTTGGGACTTCTGAGCCGAGTTCTTGGATCAATGCTTGGGAATGAGACTCCAGAGGTGAATCCATCTATTCCTAGCCAACAGATTCAAAGGAATGAGCAGCAAGGACTTTTCCAGGAGGATGACATTCAGTTTCTGGCTCCATTCATTCCTATCCCTTGAAGCCAAATAGTCCCTACATAAATGCCAATTTTTAAACAACTCTTAAGCCCATATGTTGATCTCAGGCATTTCAATATCACAGGAGGTACATGTCTTGAATGCAGAGCACCTCTCCAGATCTGCCCAACCTAACCATACAACAGGCTGAAGACAAAAGGGAATGTTTCCAGATTGTTTGTGCTGACAGAATTAAGAGGAACTGAAGATGATTTTAGGGACAGTTATTTCATCTCTATAGTTTTGAATGCCAGATTGTTAGTTGGTGTGCACATCCTCCCTAATGGTTACACTGCTTAGGAATGGCTGCAGGACCTCTCACAGATAATGGGAAAAATATATCAAATGGGGTTAATCCTAAATTAGAAGTTTTTACAGACACAGTCCTCTCTGACCCCAACCTCCATTTTATATTTAATCTTTAAAATAGTGACTCCTTAGGCCAGTTGAAAAAAAAATGAAACCATGTAAGCATGTAAGGAGCCCCACTGAAGCTTATGGGACTACTCACAAGCTTACAGTTAAGCACTCCATAATTGCCCTGTTCTGTTCATTCCGCTTGAAGCAGCTGGCACTGGCCACTGTTGGAAGACAGGATACTAGGCTAGATGGACCATTGGTCAGACCCAGTATGGCCGTTCTTATGTTTCTTAAGTACCATGCTTCTTCAGGTATAAATCCCTTGTACATGTTTCTAAAAGAAAAGACATCTGGAGGGACATGAGCTGAAGACAGTCTGAAACCACATTTTTACAATATATAAATGCCTGGTGGTATGCTTTAAAGTTTGGCAAGAGCTATGTATGACTGCGTCTCATGATGAAGCCGCAAGCGTGTTATAGGGGCCATCCAAAAACATTATACCACATTATACCCCCATGTATTCTCTTTACTCAGCCTATTTCAGAGGAAAAAAAGCTTTTTTCGGAGAACTTAATTGTTTTTATTGGTACTATTTTTCATACCCTCCACCTGTAAAGCCAGGCTTCATTAGTACCATGAATCCAACTATACAGGCCTCCCTGGGAGAGAAAAACAACAAATACATTTTTGAAAAATGGGAAATTCTTTCTCATTGTTTCACAAAAATTTAGTCTTTTTTCTGTGCTGACATTTTGAAAAAAAAAAGTCATTAAAATTTTGAATTTTGGAATTTTTCAACAAGTCCTACAGATTTTAGAAATCTGTAAAAACTACCTAAAGTAGTTTTCTATACATAATAATGTCATGATTTTATATCTTAGGAATGCTAGACTTAGAAGGAAGGGACATGTCTTGTTGGGAAGCTAGAATTCTTTCCTTTTCCAAATATACAGATAGAAAATTCCATATATATATATTTCCACAAAAAGGTCCTATATCTAGCCCTCTTTGGTCATGAGATATGAACCTGAGACTAGTGCAACATAGAGTAACTGCACTGCAGGCCATTATAATTTTCAGGAATTTCCACAACTGGGGAAAAAGGAAACATTTCTCTAGCATATTTTGTTTCTTTTGTAAATGTCTGTTACAAGCTGTTCCAGTGTTTGAAATGTCAGTAGAACAAGTCAGAAAATGTTGGTAACTTTGAAGAAGAAGAGATTGTGCACTTGTGCAGTAATTGTGGGTCTTCGAAAAGTATGTCCTTATGGATGATCCATTTCATGTGTGTATGCATCTCTCGAGCCCTTGATCAGAGATTTTCCATTAACTGTGTCTGTTCAGCCCGCGCATGCTCCCTATATCTCATTGTGCTGGACACCGAGGCTATATAGAGACGTGCAGGCAAACTGCCCCCAGTTCCTTCTCCTCCCACACGTTCCATAGAGAACAGTCCAAAGCAAAGGGGAAGGAGGGCGGGTAGTGGAGCACCCAAGGAGGAAACATCTTGAAAAACGGTAGTTACCGCACAAGATGAGTAATCTGTTTTTCCTTAAGTAGTGCCCTATGGGTGTTCACTTCAGGTGACTTCCGAGCAGTACTCCCAGAGGGAAGAGGAAGTTTTGGAATTGAGTCCAGAACTGAAGACAGTACTTCATTAGCAAGTGCCACATCGGATCTAGCGGCATGGATCAAAATGTAATGTTTAGAAAATGTATATAATGAAGCCCATGTTGCAGCCCTCATACCTCAGATACTGACACATTCTTAAGTAATGTTGTGGATGTTGCTTGTGATCTGGTAGAATGCGTTATCACCCTTTGCAGGGGTTGAATGTCCGCAGTACCAAAACTAGTGATAATACACCCAGATATCCATCTTGATAGATCCATGATCTGTGCACAGAGACTATCTGTGAAGGAGATGAACAATCTAGGTGACATTTCTAAATTGTTTGGTCCTATCTAAATACAAACCCAACCCCCTCCTAACATCCAAGACATGAGAACAGGTCATCTGCAAAGAGCTATGCAGTTTTGGACTAAACACTGGTAGATGAATGGATTATGGAGCAGGTCCTCAAGGAATCAATTCTGAAGCACTTAGAGGAGAGGAAAGTGATCAGGAACAGTCAGCATGGATTCACCAAGAGCAAGTCATGCCTGACTAATCTAATTGCCTTCTATGACGAGATAACTGGCTTGGTGGATGAGGGGAAAGCAGTGGACATATTGTTCCTTGACTTTAGCAAAGCTTTTGACACGGTCTCCCACAGTACTCTTGCCAGCAAGTTAAAGAAGTATGGGCTAGATGAATGGTCTATAAGATGGATAGAAAGTTGGCTAGATTGTCGGGCTCAATGGGTAGTGATCAATGGCTCCATGTCTAGTTGGCAGCCGGTATCAAGTGGAGTGCCCCAAGGGTCAGTCCTGGGGCTGGTTTTGTTCAATATCTTCATAAATGATCTGGAGGATGGTGTGGATTGCACCCTCAGCAAGTTTGCAGATGACACTAAACTGGGAGGAGAGGTAGATATGCTGGAGGGTAGAGATAGGATAGAGTGGGACCTAGACAAATTAGAGGATTGGGCCAAAAGAAATCTGATGAGGTTCAACAAGGACAAGTGCAGAGTCCTGCACTTAGGACGGAAGAATCCCATGCGTTGCTACAGACTAGGGACCGAATGGCTCGGCAGCAGTTCTGCAGAAAAGGACCTAGGGGCTACAGTGGACGAGAAGCTGGATATGAGTCAACAGTGTGCCCTTGTTGCCAAGAAGGCCAATGGCATTTTGGGATGTATAAGTAGGGGCATTGCCAGCAGATTGAGGGATGTGATCGTTCCCCTCTATTCGACATTGGTGAGGCCTCATCTGAAGTACTGTGTCCAGTTTTGGGCCCCACACTACAAGAAGGATGTGGAAAAATTGGAAAGAGTCCAGCGGAGGGGAACAAAAATGATTAGGGGACTGGAACACATGACTTATGAGGAGAGGCTGAGGGAACTGGGATTGTTTAGTCTGTGGAGGAGAAGAATGAGGGGGGATTTGATAGCTGCTTTCAACTACCTGAAAGGGGGTTCCAAAGAGGATGGATCTAGACTGTTCTCAGTGGTAGCTGATGACAGAACAAGGAGTAATGGTCTCAAGTTGCAGTGGGGGAGGTTTAGGTTGGATTTTAGGAAAAACTTTTTCACTAGGAGGGTGGTGAAACACTGGCATGAGTTACCTAGGGAGGTGGTGGAATCTCCTTCCTTAGATATTTTTAAGGTCAGGCTTGACAAAGCCCTGCCTGGGATGATTTAGTTGGGGACTGGTCCTGCTTTGAGCAGGGGGTTGGACTAGATGATCTCCATGAGGTCCCTTCCAACCCTGATATTCTATGATTCTATGATTAGTTAAGGTGGAATTCCAACAGTACCCTTAGGTAAAAATTTAGGGTGTGGACATAAATATACTTTATGCTTGAACACCATAAACGGGTGATCTGCCATCAAGGCTCCAATCTCTCTGATCCTACAGGCTGACATGATGGCTATTAAAAAGGCTTCCTTCACAGATAAATGGAGCAGTGAACAGGTTGCCATTGGTTCAAATGGAGGTCTCATAAGGTAACTGAGTACCAGGTTGAGGTCTCAGGTTGGGGTGGCAAGAATGGCATGGTATTTACCAGAGGTAGTTTTTACCAGGTAAATCATGTTTTTTACTGCCCCTGGAAAAAACAGTTAGTACCACTTTGCGAGATTTTCTATTTAAAAAACTGCTTTGTTTACACTTAGTATTAGTTACATTTTCATAATGGGATTACATAAAGCACTAGATTTAGAGATTAATTTAGGGTTGTAGAAAGCGGGGACTCTGAACTCTTGTGGTACCAAGTAGGGGAATGGTACCGACACGGTACTGAGGATGCAGTAGCCAAAGCTTATGGTGGAGGAGGGCCCTAACAACGTAGGCATCAATGGTGTTTGGAGCCATTGCTTGCTTGGTTCCGAGGGTGCTGAATGGGTAGGTACTGGTGGAGGGCTGAGCCCAATAGTGTCAGTTTGGAATGCTTATGCATGCTCTCCTTGTGCTGTGGCCCTGTCGGAGCCATGTCTCTCCTTCAAGCTCTGGGACTTTCCAGCTCCACCAGTACTGGAGGAGGAGTTCTTCAACTCAACAGTACTAAGCCAAGAGGTTGAGGCTTTGGAGACCGTAGACCTCGAAGGAGACCTGGGCTTTTTTGGAGCTGGCTTTTTAAGATGAGAGTCTGCACTCCTCTTTTTAGAAACCTTAGCTGAAGCCTCCAAAATATTCCCTTTTCCAAGGGGAAGTGTTTGTGGAGATTGAAGGAGAGCTGGATCTGTCCAGAGACAGATGTACGGGAGGTTTTTCTAGCCTGATTCAAAAGCTGTCAAAGGGAGCGTTCCATCCTCAACAGTCTGAGTTTAATCTCCCTTTCCTTCCTTAACCTGGATTTGAAAGCTAGGCAGAAGCTTCGCTTCTGGGAGATATGGCACTCACTTGCAATGGACACACTTAGAGTGGCTGTCGCTAACAGGTAGAGCCTCTCTGCGGAGTATAAAACGTGGTGAGCCAGGCATGCCCTGTCTGGAGAATAAGGCTCCCTGAGGGGAAGGAGAGGAACAAAATAATCCTTCCATTACATATCTCTAACTAAAACTATCACTAATAACTAACCTGTACTAACTAAACAAACAACGATAGGAAAAAACTGCATACAAGATAACAGAGGCGTGTTCAAGGCGGACCCTCTGAGGCTCTATCTCAGGCCAAGGTGGCTGAGAAATAACTGACAGGGGTTCAACCACGCATCCCTGTATATTCTTGGTGTCTGGCATGAGGAAGCATTCGGAGAATGTTCAGGCCAAATGGACACTGCTAACGGAAAATCTCTGATCAAAGGCTCAAGAGGTGCATGGGCACCTGAAGAGGAGCACCCATAGGGACGCTACTCGAAGAAGAAAAATGGTTTTTTTTTGGTGGATTTTTTCTTGTTTTTTTGACTAGCTCTAAAGGTTATTAGATCTAGAAGAGGCAGTCAAAGATGCATGAGGAATGCAACATGTAACGTAAGTCTGTAATTTACAACAACCACACTCATCTGGCCAAACAAAAACAAAAAAAATTATGTCCTCTGGAACCAAACTGTTAAAGAATTGTGAGGGGAATGGAAAGAGAATCAGAAATTAGTTTAGCTGACTCAGAAAAATTTCATAGGAACTTTTTTCAGTTATTCCATCTGTTCTTGAACAACCTTTGGTATTGACTAAATAACCCTACAATTAACTGAGGGCGATGAGAGTCTTTCAGTAGAAATTTAAAAAGCTAAGCAACATAAAAGGAAATGGATATGAGAACAGGGAAGAAAAAAAATAGAGCACAAAAATGAAATAATCAGAAACATTATCCCTCTATTTATAAAGGTCTATTGAATTTGAAAAAAAGTAACTGTTGCTATTTTAGCATTAATTCATTTAATTTGGAAGCTACAGTAATTTACCTTTCCATGCTCTTTCCTCATGTGGGATATGTACACATCTCTCTGAGTGAAGAGTCGATCGCATTCCCAGCACGTCCAGCCAGGGTTGGTTACTTTTTTGGGCTCTGCTTTCTTTACAGGAGAGGGAGATTTCTTCTCCAGCTTTTCTGTTCCGTTGATGGATTTTGAATCCTCTTTGTTGTGACTGGCTGAGTTTTGAGTTGTGGGTTTAGTGCTCAGGAGCAAATTTATACCCAAGTTTGGTGGCCCCTCAACACTTTTCAATGTTCCATGCATAGACTAAAATATAAAAAATAAAAATGTTACACAAGTTTGCTGTTGGTGTGGCTAAAATGTAAAAAATGATCTGACTAAAGGCTTTACCTCATTCTACCCCTCATGATAGAAATCTATTTATTAGATCACTTGTAATATAAGGACACTCAAAACAATGTTTAAATAAAAACAAGGTTGTAATACAAACAAGCAACATAAAAATCCATAGACAAAGTGTAGTTATCTTCAATGGCTGCATACAGTTACATTAAGTGAAGCTGTGTGAGTGAGAGGTTTAACTTGCTTTTTTGTGGGGGGGGGGAGAGCTTTCTAAAAAGGCCTTCTTTATCCTGATTAACTCTAATTTTTCATTTTACTTGCACAATAAAGTGGGTCAGTCTTCCCTAATGTGGACCACCTGATATATAACCTAGCTTATTGTTTCCTGTAAACAATTCAAAACGTGTTTGCATTGACAGAGTTTGGACAGCAATATTGGGAAAAAAATACAAGTAAAGACGGCTTTTGAAAGATTAGATAACCCAGTTAATAATCCCTTTGAACCATGAATTTGCCAATCAGGAGATTACCTTCACATATGAAAGCCTTGCCTTCCAATTGCTAGTGTTCTCAGGGTCTCTTACGCTGTCCATTACCTTTGCCTTGCTGGTTTGCATGTCCAGCCACTCCAAATATAATCATCCTATCTTATAGCTGGGCTGAGCAAGTAGTCCCAGCAGCCAAAACCATTCAATACGTTGTTGAACCAGAGGAAACTGATACTGGGATATAAATCTGATACTTTAGCAAAGCCAAACTATCTCAGTATCAGGCTCTTCTTTGTAGGATAATCAGATGATTCCCATGGACTGTTTGCCAGGTACTTCACAAATGTCATACTCAGCTGTGCTGTGGAACAGAACTGTCTTTCTGTTTAAGTGGTCTCTACAGAAATTAATGCCATTTACTTTCAAAACCAAAACGTTTCATTAAAAAACTGTGACTAAAAAGATACGGTGCTTTCATTTCACCCATCTGACATCCAAAAAGAAGAAAGGTTAACTCTTTTTAGCATGTCTAAATAAAGTACTAGCTAATATAATGAAATCTATTCCCACTACAAGTTGACAAAAACTCTATGAAAGGTAATGAAAAAAAAAATTTCTGGGGTGTGGAGGAAAGGTGTAAAAATGGTTGCTCATTTTGAAGTATTCTGCACATTTTTAACTTAAGACAATGTTAGCTATCAGAGTCAAATGTTTTATTTTTTACATACCATATTCTTTACATACCAAAAAAAAAAAACTACATTAAAAGAACATTAAAATTGCAAAGTCAAGCACTTAAAAGGCTGCCCAGGCAACCTTAATTCAGCCTTCTTGTTTGTATCCATTATGATATAGTCTTTAATTACATGATCACACATTATTTTTTCCAGAGAACCCCATCCTCAATGAAATGGCTGTAAGAATTTTTTATGTGAACAAAACAACATATTATTCCCCAATGTTGTTCTCAAGAATGGCTAAATAGTTTTCAATTAAATTAAAAATCAGCTGGAGGCATACAAATTTCAGCCCAAACAGTAAAAACATAGCAAAGTGATAAGCAACTAAAAACAGGGCCTTATAATGGAAAGAGTTAGGCAATTTTAACTATAGGTGTAGCTGTCAACTCCACCTTTGCTTTAAAATCAATTGTTTTCAAATACTGAAACAATACATATATATTATAGCAACAATACATATATAACTATATATGCATGTGTGTGTATATGCCACTATTTATTCCTGTTTAGAACTGAAGAAGCTGTACACATCACAAAGGGGATGCTTTCAGTGAGTTGCTACGGGAAGTATATCCCCTTGCTTGATGGTTGAGCAAAAAAATTATGCAAAAGTTAGATAAGAAGGCAAGTAAAGGGCTCGCTTAACAAACATCACTGCAGGATAACAATAATTAAAGTATCTGGCAAAATGCAACAAGATTATGAAATAAATTCTCACAGGTCTTACAATGAGAGCTAACAGAGGTTAAGAACACTGAAAATACCTTGTCCTCACTTCTCAGAACATCTTTTGTCATCCCATACATTTGACAAACATGCTATTTTCCCTCATTTTCAACTATAGGATAAAGTCACCCTGAACTAAGAGCAGATACATAACTCGAAGACAGATGATGAGAGTGCATGCAATGGTCAGGAGGTAACCATGCACCACAAGGCCCTGTCTGGTACAATATTTGAAAACAGTTCTTCTGGAATACAATTGTCTCACTGGGATCCAGTTGCTTATGGCACCATATTCTCAGCAGAAAAAACAGGAATTTAAAGAAAAAAATAATTTCTAGTCTCCTCCCCTACCTGGGTGTAGACGAGAAAGAACTTTACGGTATATTGTGTATTTTTAAAAGAGTTGGTTTCTCAGAATTGCTGTTCTCGCCTTCAGCACAAATCTCAGCCACTTCCCAGGTAGTACGTGCCATAGCTCAGGCTGACATTCACCGTGCTGATTTCAGCAAAGACTATGAGTCTGACTCTCCATTGCCCTGCACCTTGTTAAGTCATTTATGTTAGTGTAAAGGAAATGCAAAGTGGATGTCAAATGCCACTGTTCTGGTTCACACCACTTTACAATGGCATAAACGATGACACAAGGTACAGGGCAATGATGAATCACACCCTTGTGGTTTAAGGAATCTAAGAGTCGCTAAGGCCTCCAGTACTTTAAAAATAAGGTAAAGCAATATATTTAAAATAAATGGCTAACAAGTTGCAGCCGGGTGTGTGTGGTGGTGGGGAGTTATTGTCTCTTAATAACACAGGTTGGAAGGATAATAGCCAGAGTTCTCCAATAAATCATCTTATTATGAAAATACAGTTATGAGATATTCTGTTTTATTTTACCTTCTAAGGGTATATATATTTCTGCATCCATACAAGTAACACAATGCTTCTCTAATCAGTGAGTTCTGAGTACAGAAAGCTTGATTCTGTAATGAGCTGAACACCATCAACTCCCAACGGACTTCAACAAGAGCTGATGATACTTAGCTCACACTGTAGGAGATGCCAACACTTAGCAGGATTGGGTCCATAAATCTCGCTGTAACCAGTATTTTTATAATATATCATCTTGCATGCAGTACACACACTCACAGGCAATATATAAAATACTAACATTCACACAGAGAAATCTAGTTAGTGACTAGAACATATAGACTCTATATTTTAACTGCATAGAGATATTAACTGCAAATTACTCTTTAGGAATAACTACCAGCTATTACTTTCTGTGGTTTTCTCATAATTTTGTGCTTTTCTGAGATGATTATGTGTAATGCTTTAAACATGACAAATGCTGTACAAGAATTCAAATGAAAGGAGATGCCCACACACCTTGATATGATCCATCATAAGTTGCTTCTGTGCATATAAAAGAGAACAGTCCGGACACTTGAAAACAGACACCTTCTGGTTTTCAATGTGTTGATCAAAGTGGCGATACAGCAAGGGTTGCAGGGTAAACACAGTGTCACACATGGAACATTTATATATTATTCTAAAAATAGAAGAAGTTCAGTAAATAAAAGTCAGTCATCCTGATCATTTATCAGCAGGAATCACTGTTAAATTTCTTCTCATCACAGGTGAGACCAAATGTATGTATACATGAACATATTGGTCTGTTGTGGAAAATCAAAAATGAAAATGATACAACTAATTCAAGAATAATCCTCAAAATGGAAAGTAAAGCAGCATTCAAGAAAAACAGTATTAAAATCCAAAACCAACGGCACATTTACATCTATTTATAACCGTTATATATAAAACCAGTAAATGCTTCTGACAAGATTTTCCCAACGTATATATCTTTAGATCTCTAATTCACATTTAAAACAAAAGGGCTGTTGATCTACCTGACTTTGGAATTCAAAGGCACAAATTTGAAGGGGTTACTGATTTGATCAAAAATGTTAACATGTTTAAAGTAGGGTTCACTTTTGGTTTTGATGAGTCTTCTCAACTTCTTAAACTATTAGTCCAATCCCTCCAGTGTCTCGCTGAAGCTGAAATTTCACTGGAACGCAGCCTTTCTATTTGGCAATTTAAAATTTTTCATCGGCTACCTATTTCAAAGCATTGTACAGAAATGACCAAAGCACAGCTTCTAGCACTGCTGATGCAGGACTGCTGGAAACAGGAAAAGCCAATTGTGTAATTTTAATAGCAAGTGAATCAACTTCCTTCCTGTATTACAATATTCTCATAAAGATGTTAACTAGCAACAAAAGCACGTTATGATGAGTCAGCTGATGATTAAGTAATGCATAAATTCATCCAGACTTTATAAAAAGAATGGTGAAGAATCTAAGATAGTAATTAATAAGGACCAAAACAGGCTGAATTAGTAAAGGACATTGTAACAGCAGTCTCTGAAAGTGAGTTAAAATGACAGCATAAAAATGTTTCCCAAAATGAAGGAAAAATTATGAATTAATCTTGAAATGGGTATCATTTCAGCAGAATTCTGACTCTGTCAAGCTCCCTACCAATAATTAATAAACCAGAATGAAACTAGGATGTGCTAATGAAATGGAGAGATCAAGTCAGTTCACTGAGAGGGTAACCCTCTGGTCTAAGTGAAAGAACTAATACTACATAATAATGGTTTGAGGCTGGTTGCATTTTGCCAATGATTCTTCAAACAACATGGAATGTTATGCACAGGTTTTCTTTTCATGATTTTTTGTTTGTTTGTTTTACATGTTTGGCTCTATAAGAAATTATTGTAATTTTTAAATAAAAAAACACTGTCAAGATTGGTAGGTCCAAAATTTATCCTCTTTTTCATATATCTATTTATAAAGCCCATGTAATACCCTTTATTTCTTCAGAACTGTTGTAATTTTTATTTAGAAAAAGAATAGAAAGCAAATGGCATTTGAAAGGGAAAAATAACAAACAAGCATAGGAATTGCCATATTTAATCAGACCAGTGGTCCAACTAATCTAATATCCTCTGACAGTGGCAGTAGTAGCCACTTTACAGAAAAGTGTAAGTATCTAGAGTCCCCTGACATTTTTTCATCATCAACGCTTCTAAAATTTACTTTTAAAATGTTAATAATAATTTTCCAATGTTAATAAATATTTAGTTGAATCTTACTGGTACTGGTTGTATTTTGTCCCTAAACTACTGGAAGAGCTAACTCTGTTAAAGTAAAATCTCAACTCAGTGCCCAGTCAGAGCACCTCAGCAGAATGCTGGAGAGATGCAGAGCAAAGGAATCTTTCCCCGGCCACAGAGCTATTTTGGACATGTTCCATGCGCATCACTTAAGTCTTAACGATGCAGTAGCACCTGTGCCCATAATGCACCCATAGGGAATGGGGAGAACCCAAGGATTCACATGGCAATGTGTTCACCCTCCACCGTTTGGCACACCGGGAGCTACTGTGTAGCTCTATACTTTATAGGGGGTGCACACTCCCGGTGATGGCCTCGCTCAGCAGAAATGCAACAGCGAAAAGCAGTTTAAAATGGTAATATTTTATTCTCAGCATTCTTCATTTTAATGTGAGAATATAAAGAACAACTCACTAGCAAGAGTATTTGTAATTTTCATTTATTCATACATTTTGTAAAGAAGATGTGTATTTCCATCAATAATAGATGGCATGTATCAGATATCCATATTTTGTGATGGGACTCATCTCTGATGAAGTGGTTTTACAAAGCTAATTAATAATTATAACCAGGTTTGGAAACTGAGGCACAGGAAGGTTAAGAGACTTGAACAAGGTTATACACCACGGCACTGACCCTCCAAATGATTGTCACCCATGGCAGCACACTAGACAGAACATTAGAATCCTGACTCCTGATACCCATCACTAACTCCCTTGGCCGGCGCCGCTTCCCGCAGCCCCCATTGGCCTGGAGTGGCGAACCGCGGCCAGTGGGAGCCGCGATCGGCCAAACCTGCGGACGCGGCAGGTAAACAAACCGGTCCGGCCCGCCAGGGGCTTTCCCTGAACAAGCGGCGGACCAGCTTTGAGAACCACTGATCTAGGGTACAGTTCCATAGCCAGTGACTTGAGTGGAAGTCTGTTTCAGGCCCCTAATCTATACATTTGCGACTACAGGATTATATATATTGTCAAATGGTGGCATATTATGTTAGTACTTTTTAATTTGCTTTGCTTTCTGATCTTTTCATTGTATTTAAAGTAAATTAATCCTTGAGTAATCACTTCATGTGTAATGGAGCAACACAGTGCTCATTAGCAAAACCAGCTAATATTGATAGGAGAAAATAAATCTGCTACTGAGACTATTACACCTCTTTAAAAATATCAGATTCTTAATATTCACATTTTAAATAAACATTTAAGTTAAGTTAAAATTGCTCCGCTTTCGCAGAAGTTCAAAATCTTCTTGATAGGAGTCCAAATTCCCAAGTCATCTATTTTCAGAATAAACTCTACTAATTTAAATTGATACAGATATTCTGTATGGTATGCTGTATCATGGTAGACACATGGATCTAATTCATTACAAAATATTACTTTCAGCCGCATTTTCAAAGTTAGGTATATGCAACTGAGCACATACATTTGTGAATCAAACAAATAATGTGAGTCAATACCAAATGTGTCTAGCTAAGGCCATGATCAAAACAAAGTACTAAAGCATGTATTTAAGGGCTATGCTCGATCATGACTTAAATTACTGTAGCCCCAATTCAACAAAATACTGAAACACATGCCTTAGTTAAAGCTCATGAGTAGTCTAGTTGAGGTCAGTGAATATGCATGCACATGCTAAATATTTCCTCACAAATATTATGCACCAACAACTGTATGTGGGAAATGCACTTATTTCAATCTGTGAAAATCTGGCCAATAGAAATTTTAAAATTTTCCTTAGAACACATAAACATGGAATCTACAGGCAGATACCTGAACATCACATTAAAAGACAATCCTCTACTAGGATATGGCATTTCTCCTTCCAATAATTTATATGTCTATATACATGATAATTTGTGCAATAATGTCCTATATTGTGTACCAACAGTCTAATGTTATTAATAAATTGGTTCCATACATATTAATTTCTCCAAGCTTTAAAAGGAGATTACCAATAAAAAAAATCTTACTGCTACTCCTAAGAGCTCATACTAGCTACAAAGAAAAAGTCACAGAGGAGCTTCTTTAGCCCATAAAATAAATTAAGCTATTCCTGATGAGACTGATGTGTGTGTGTGTAGAATTAAAATTGAAAAAGCCTTCCTTCTCCCCATATTAAAATAATCTCATTTGTACCTATTGAAAGCCATTCTACCTAATGTGGTTTTTCATAAAACAGGTTAAAATTAAATTTAAGAAGTGAAATCATATCTTATTTGCTGCATCTGTTCTGATAAACAGACATTAGTAATACAATTATAAATCATGCAATTTCACTAAATGCCAAGGGCATACAGTGTCTTACTTAATGCTCTATCTCCATTAGTTCCTGCAAACAAAACAGACTGCATGAGCCGGTGACTGCCACAGCTGCAAACATGGTACACATCCCTGCGTAGGTTCTAAACTCACCTCCATCCTAGGGTTTCACTTTTGTAACAAACGGAGGAACAATAAGGCAACTAACTGTAAGTCCACTTCAAGCCTTCTGTCCAGGCTGGGCTGCTCCCAGTGTTCCTAGTTCAGTTTGGACAGGCCCTTGCCTATCAGACTTTCCCTCTGACACACAAAAACCCTGTGTCAGGAGAGCCCAGGCCTGAAGCCTGTTTTCCACTTCAGCCAGAGGAGGGTCCTTCATTCATTCCTGGACAGGTGTTTCAGGGGTGGCTCCAGCCCTTGTCTTCAGGACAGATCTATAAATCCTTCCTGACCAGTCCATCCATCACACCTTATTTTCTGCAGTGCTGAGCACACACAACTCCCAGAGGAATTGCAGGCCACAGTTCCCAACCAACAGGAGTGGCAGAGCTGGTTGGCTGCCCTTCCACCTAGGAACTGAGGGAAGGGGATGTCGCCACTGCACCTCCCCGATAGTGGCTGGTGCTGGGGTAGGGGGGGAATTGGCTCCCTACCTGGCTCCGCTTCCCCCCCTACCCCAGCACCAGCGGGGCTCCCAGGCTGCGTGCCCCCGGGCTGCCCCCCTCCAGCACCCGCAGTGGGCCTGGGCCAACCCCTAACCCCAAGATTTAGTCAGGGGTGTAAAGTACAAGTCATGGACAGGTCACAGGCCGTGAATTTTTGTTTACTGCCCATGACCCATCCATAAGTTTTACTAAAAATACCCGTGATTAAAACATAGCCTTAGTGATAACATATCATCTGCAGGTGTTTGTGAAGGGTCCGTTTAGAGGGGAAAAAGCTTAGCACTTTAAGAAAATCCAACTGTTAATTCTTAAAATAATTTGCTATAATACAAAAATGTATAGAGCCCTGCAAATCCGCGGATACCTGCTTTATATCCACGAACCATGTTTACGGATCACGGATAGACACGGATCCAAATTTTATATCTAGAGCTTTGCAAATCTGTGGAGATCCACTTTATATCCACGAACCATGTTTACAGATCGGATATCAAATTTTGTATCTGTACAGGGCTCTACAAATGTATTCCACAAAAATGCATGTTCTTCCTTCTGCATATGGCTCTAATGATACACCAGTTCATACTCAGAAGAAGCATGTCATTTCATATCCACAAATAGGGGAGCCAGCTCAAAAGAATTAACCTGTGAACATGACCTGATACAGCTCAATACGGTCAAGATTAATTCAAGAAATCTTTTGAACTCCTTCAATGTGAAACAGTCATTTGTAATTTCTGATCTTAGGGTTTTTTTGCTGGCTGTGAGAAGGCCCTCTGGCTCCAGCCTCTGCTCCAGCTTACAAACTGCTCAGAGACCCTTGTGCTAGTCAAACATCTTGTGTAGTTTATTTACAATGTGGGTTCCCCATACCTTCATACTATATACAGCTCTGCTTCAACAGTCCTATGGAGCCCCCAACTGCTAAACCAAGCAGGGATGGGAAATCTCTCTCTTCTCCCTGTTACCTGCTTTCTCCCCTCTACTTCCTTCCTGTGCCTAATACCTTAATTAGCCTTCCAGCTTTCCTCCACCACAAATTAGGCACAGCTCTGTTTAACCAGCCCCATTCTGCATTATTTGATTGGAGCTGCTATGACCAGAGTGCTGGATCAGCTGTTCTTGCTTAGCACTCTGTCACACTGGCTTTTACTACTACTACTAAAAAAAAAAAAAAGAAAATCAATCACATAACTAAAAACTGTTTCCTTACTGTTCAGCACAGCAATCTAAAAGTTTCTGAATTAAATGTTGGCATTTCTGAGCCTACTGTCAGAGATGCCATCTTGCTAAAAAGGAACATAATTCGCAGCAACGGAAACATGGCAATTCAGGGTCAGAGCCCATACATTAGTTTAAATTCTGCTTCAATATAGGTTTGAACAATCTGAAGAATAAAAATATACTTTGGAATATTAAACAGGACAGTGTCAAGTTTAAAAGGCTTAAAATTAAACATAACGATGGATGCTGCACTGTTCTTTTACTCTGCTGCCTTGAGGTTTTTTTGAGCATGCAAGATATTGAAATATAGAGCCATGCTCTCTGCGTTTCAGAGCGGTACGATAGAGCAGAATTCTTGAATATTTTAATACCCTACCTGTACCTAACAATGGAGAAAGCAGGGAGAGGAATGACAGCTTTGTGGCAAAGGCACTGGGTTGGGATTTAGGAGGTATGTAGATTCCACTGAGTTCAGCTGGAGCTTACTCTCATATTTCTAAAAACAGGATCCTGAGGCTCAAATCCTAACTCTCCCACAGCCCTTGGGTAAATCACTTAATCTCTCTCTAAGCCCCTCTGTAGTAAACTGGAAATAATGCTTCCCCATTTAACAGAGGAGTTGTTATGCATCAAAAAAAGGCACGTGCAGAGACAGACCAAGGTGCATCTGCCTTGACCTTGGCAGGCAAGGTTGGAGACTGTTTAATGGTGGGCCTCTCTCACTTAACTGCAGTTGGAATTCTCTTTTTCTTGATGACATGTGGGTCTTGTGAAGGTGCAAGCCTAGCTCAGCACTCCCAAAGGTTGTGGCTAGTAGTGAAGACAAGCCAGGTAGAAAAGACTGATGGGGGACAACATCTCCTGGAGAAAAAACACATCTTGTCATGAAATGGCCTACCTGGGAGAACTTTAGGCCATAGACAATTCTTCCCTGACAGAACAGCATGAAACCAATGAACTGAGACTACCTAGTATTTCTGAGACTGCCAAAAGTGACTATTGACAGCCCTGCGAGCAAAAGTGACTGAAAGAAACAAGCTCTCTTGAGTCAACTGCTCTGCAATACGTTAAGCATTTACCAAACACTATCCGTATCTTTTCTGGTTTGTCAGGCAAGCATTATGAAGGAGAAAAGTGCAATAACAGTGCTGAGGAATATTAATGATTATTAAGCTACACTAAATGGAAAAGCTATATTAACTAGAGTGCATTCTAGAAGGTGTGGAAAGCAAGGGCTTTTTCTGTTCAGTTTGAAAGGCAGAGCTATATAGAGGAGCTTGGGAGAGAAGAACTGAGGGACTAGATGTATGTAAAAAATTACTCCAATTTCTCTAGTACCTCTGAATGCTGGTTGACATGGTTGACAGTCGAGAAAGTGTGGACCAAATTTAACATAATCAGAGAGACATTATACTAGTTTCTAATTTGTTTAAGGCTTGTGGTGTTTGCATCCTAAATTACAGGTTTCAGAGTAACAGCCGTGTTAGTCTGTATTCGCAAAAAGAAAAGGAGTACTTGTGGCACCTTAGAGACTAACCAATTTATTTGAGCATAAGCTTTCGTGAGCTACAGCTCACTTCATCGGATGCATACTGTGGAAACTGCAGAAAACATTATATACACAGAGACCATGAAACAATACCTCCTCCCATCCCACTCTCCTGCTGGTAATAGCTTATCTAAAGTGATCACTCTCCTTACAATGTGTATGTGTATGTGTATGATAATCAAGTTGGGCCATTTCCAGCACAAATCCAGGTTTTCTCACCCCCCACCCCCATACACACACAAACTCACTCTCCTGCTGGTAATAGTTCATCCAAAGTGACCACGCTCCCTACAATGTGCATGATAATCAAGGTGGGCCATTTCCAGCACAAATCCAGGTTTTCTCACACACACACACACACACACAAACTCACTCTTCTGCTGGCAATAGCTCATCCAAACTGACCACTCTCCTTACAATGTGTATGATAATCAAGGTGGGCCATTTCCAGCATAAATCCAAGTTTAACCAGAACGTCTGGGGGGGGTAGGAAAAAACAAGGGGAAATAGGCTACCTTGCATAATGACTTAGCCACTCCCAGTCTCTATTTAAGCCTAAATTAATAGTATCCAATTTGCAAATAATTCCAATTCAGCAGTTTCTCGCTGGAGTCTGGATTTGAAGTTTTTTTGTTTTAAGATAGCGACCTTCATGTCTGTAATTGCGTGACCAGAGAGATTGAAGTGTTCTCCGACTGGTTTATGAATGTTATAATTCTTGACATCTGATTTGTGTCCATTTATTCTTTTACGTAGAGACTGTCCAGTTTGACCAATGTACATGGCAGAGGGGCATTGCTGGCACATGATGGCATATATCACATTGGTGGATGTGCAGGTGAACGAGCCTCTGATAGTGTGGCTGATGTTATTAGGCCCTGTGATGGTGTCCCCTGAATAGATATGTGGGCACAGTTGGCAACGGGCTTTGTTGCAAGGATAGTTTCATGGTCTCTGTGTATATAATGTCTTCTGCAGTTTCCACAGTATGCATCCGATGAAGTGAGCTGTAGCTCACGAAAGCTTATGCTCAAATAAATTGGTTAGTCGCTAAGGTGCCAGAAGTACTCCTTTTCTTCATCCTAAATTAGAGACCATTTCCACAAAACCATAATATTACACTTTTGTCCTGCAAAGCAATTGTAATATGGATGACTTATCACTGTAAGCAAAATACTTGCTGATTCACCTGTATATTGTATTCTAAGTTTTACATCAGAATCAAGTCAGACACTGATGATTGTTATGTCAATTTATCAATAATATTATTGCACTGTAAAAAGTTATGAAAATACCTTTATTATATCACAGCATAAACCTGCAATTATTTTACTAATTAATGAATAATAGTATAAGAACATAAGAACAGCCCTACTGGGTCAGACCAAAGGTCCATCTAGCCCAGTATCCTGTCTTCCGACAGTGGCCAGCGCCAGGTGCCTCAGAGGAAATGGACAGAACAGGTAATCATGAAGTGATCCATCCCTTGTTGCTCATTCCCAGCTTCTGGCAAACAGAGGCTAAGGACACCATTCCTGCCCATCCTTGCTAATAGCCATTGATGGACCTATCCTCCATGAATTTATCTAGTTCTTTTTTGAACCCTGTTATGGTCTTGGCCTTCACAACATCCTCTGGCAAGGAGTTCCACAGGTTGACTCTGTGTTGCATGAAGAAATGCTTCCTTTTATTTGTTTTAAAACTGCTGCCTATTAATTTAATTTGGTGATCCCTAGTTCTTGTGTTATGTTGTGAAATAAATGTCAGTGACCATCATGTTTTCCCCAGATTGTAGGTTTATGCCTGCAAATAGAACATTAGATGGAAACAGTACTCTGTTAGAATTATAAATGTCTCAACACACTTCAAAAACAGCAAATACGTTAATCGTTTCGACTGTCACTACTGTTACTCTAGTTCATGATAAAAAATGCAGCTGATTTAAAATCATTTAGTTTAACAATGAAAAAAAAAACACTGAGCAAGACTGAATACAGGTAGTTTCTTGGCTGCAGTGTATCAAGTTTTCTGTGCTATGGTTAAAAAAATCTTATTGTTATGTTCATGGAAATCTTATCCTTGCCAAATAAATGACTAGAAAATGTGACGTACTCCACACATTATCAATAGTATGATAAATGGCTGGTTATGCAATATGTGACTTTTAACATTATAAATACAACAGAGAATGTAATTGTACTGGTTATTAAAATATAACATTAGAGTAAGAGCAAAAGATTAATATTGCTTACTTTGGTTCTCCTATCTTGATACCAGGGTGTTGTGTATAGGCATGGGAATGTGTGCTGGGTGCAGATTTAAATGCCATGGGACAAATAGGACACTTGTAGAAGACTTCACAGTGGGAACCTTGAATGTGAGACTTGAGTGCAGCCACATCAGAGTACACAACATTGCAATGTACACAGCTGTAAGAGAAGAGGAAAAGAGTCAATCTAACAACACAAAAGTGTACTAAAATAAGTGGAATCAAAACTGGGTTTTAGGCAGGTGGAGGAGGGAGGATTATGTATTCAATCTGATACAATAATATGATTTGATTGGTTAACAAAGTACAAATCAGAGAGATAAGGTGGGTGAGGTAATAGCTTTTACTGGACCAACTTCTGCTGGTGAGAGAGACAATTGTTCCAATAAAAGATATTACCTCAGCCACCTTGTCTCTCTACTATCCTGGGACCGACACGGCTACAGTAATACTGGAAAGTACAAATCACACATTAAGATCCAACAGAAACAAAGTGGTTATAGACCTAAAAAAGAAAAAAGATAACAATAATTAATTTGCAAGATCTAAAGCCAGAGGACAAGATTTGATAATAGCGTTATGCCAGCAATAGACAGAATGGCCAGTGGAATCTATTCCATCTGCTGATTATAAATAAGAACTTTTTAGACCCTATAGGCCCTAGAAAACACATTTTTATCAGGAGTAGTAGATTGTATGAAGAACCATATTGCAATCTAGAAGCTACCAAAAATGAAATACAACAAGAATAACAACTTTACTATATTTATTCAGGTTTAATTTTAATGAAAATGTTTTCTTAACTGAGTGATTTTTCTCTGTACATAGTCAAATCAATATTTGGACAGAGAAAAGTAAACTTAAATTCAGGGTGACTACGCAGGAGCTTTACAATCCTTTCTAAACATCAGGTTGGAATTCTGAAAATATTTTTCTAAAATATGCCTTTGAAATCTTAGTGTCTCTGACACCTTCCCCCAATTCAATCTACAGCAAAGCAAGTAACATAAATTGAGTTAATATAAGACCACAGGAATTTCCATACTAGATCAAGTCAATGGCCCATTTAGTCCAGTGTCCTCTCTCCAGTATTAGCTGCTTCCAAGAAGTTCCAAAAATACCCTGTAGTGGACAATTATGGAATAACTTGCTTATAGGGAAAGTTTCTTACTAACCCCAATCTTTTGGAAGTTCACTTTGAAGAATGAAGGTTTATATCCCTTCCAAACTTTATTTCTATCTAATATAATTATGGAACTTCTCGTTAGCCATATAAATGTCCAATCCTTTTGACACCCACTAATCTGTTGGCAACGAGTTCCACAGGCCAATTATGCATTGCATTTAAAAATATCCTTTTATTGGTTTTAAATTCGCTTCCAATTTCATTAACTGTCCCCTTCTTTTCATATTAAGAGAGAAAGGGTAAATTCACTCAATTTACCTTCACTATATCATTTATTATTTTGTATCTACCTGTTCGTATCTTCTCTAAACTAAACAGTTCCTACCTTTTAAATCTCTCTTCTTATGGAAGATTTTCCATGCCTCTAATTATTTTCGTTACCCATCTCTGAACTCCTTCTATGTCTGTTATATCCTTTTAGAGTTACGGTGATCTTATGGAAGAGAGATAGCATGATGATATAGGAAACATATGCCATTTTTCAGATACGGCAAGCCAAAAGAATTAGGAAACTTTTTGAAAAGGAAAGCACAATTTTTGAGCCCTCTTATCTCACAAACACATTGTCTCTGAGATACCTCCAAATTTCTAAAAAACCTCTACTTCAGCATAACAACATATACGTGAAATTTCAGGTGATTTGGCTTAAATCTGTTAAAGATGGGAGGGGCTCAAATGAAACTTATAAATGAAAACGACCTTCCATCTTAACTACAGACACACAACTCTCCACAACACTAAGTTTTAAGTATCATCATCTTTTTACATTTAACTCCATATTAGTTCTACTTCTAATGTGCTAGTGATATCACATTCAAGAGGGTTTTTTTTCTTTCCATGAGGTTTTTTCCTTATAAATAAAATAATCCACAACTATAAGCATCCACTGCTGACTACAGTCTGCATGTCTGCCTGAATACAAAAGTAGCTCTGCTGAAGATCTGGGTCCCCCCGAGGTCCAGGTCCCCCCTCCTGGACTCACTGTTGCAGCAGCTTTTTTCCCCTCAGTTTGAGAGAATCCAGCTTGAGTCAAGTGAGCTGAATTTCCTCAATTTAATTAGCTCAATCAGCTAGTCTAGATCACTGGCATCAAACAGCTTCCTTAAATTATTGGACACTGTTTGGAAAGGCAGGAGGAAATACATCCTTCCTCAAGAGCAAGTTTGGTGTTGATTCTGAGGGTTCTAATGAGGAGAAGATGGATTCTTGATTGTCTTAGATATTTTTTGTTTTAGGATCATTGGATGGAGAGGAGAAAAGGAACTTTGACGCAGATTGTGGTGAGGGGTTCACACAGTTTCTCATAGGGTTTTGAAGAGAAATCCTGGATAATCTAGCACCATTGTCCTGATTCATTGTGGAAAGTAGATTTTTGACTATGGGGGGTCTTCTCGTTGCAACGGCCATATGGGTAGAGGCCAGGTGTCTCTGAGGAAGACGTTGCATCTGAGTCCCACAGGTGACTGAGGTATAGGAAGGGAATGGGCTGGGGATGGAAGACACGTCAAAAACCTTCCCCTTCTTCCGAACACCCCCTGCTTATTCAGGAGACGGGGAAGAAGGAGAGAGAGAATAATCCAAAGATACTTTGGGGCAGATGAGAGTTGAATCTTTGGCCTGACCTACCCAGGTCACCAAAACCAGAAAGATCCTGCCACAACATCTGCCTAGATGCAGTAAAAGGACTTCATCCTCCCCTCAGAGTAACCTTAACAGAAAACTTTTCAGCCATCCTGATAACTGAACTGTGTTTCCTTGAGGGGAAGACATACTATCGGCTGGTGGGATTCTAAATCACACCACTCTATCTTTAGGAAGCCAGTTAAGACTGACTGCAAGACTATATTGAAGTGCTATGCAGAGGCCTGCTGTAGGAGCTGGGAAAAGAGAGGCTATTCTGAGCTGTTGGCTTGGTGCTGCTCTGAGTGTTGGTGGAAATCTAGGGACTGACAGAGTTTCAAGGCTGGTCAGTGAAAGGCTAGAGGTTTCCTTGATACTCCTCCAATTCTTGTTACTCCACTGACAGTTGCTTCCCAGCAGAAAATGTAGGGGAAACACAGGAATTAAAAAGAACGAGGAGTACTTGTGGCACCTTAGAGACAAGTACTCCTTGTTCTTTTTGCTGATACAGATTAACAGGGCTACCACTCTGAAACAGGAATTAAAGACTCTCAACAAAGAGCCAAAGTAGCAGACTGTTGCACTCTCTGATGGACAATGTGAACTGGTTTAAAGTATAATGTAATGGTAAATCCAGCAGCAGGAACCTGGACTTCCCCAACTGGGGAAAAAGAGTGAGAACAAGAGAGGCAGAAAGACTTCAATAAAGTTGCCTCCTGTATCTGATAGACAGGTGGAGTACACCCATCAGTGCTTTAAAGATACAGTCTAGCAGTAAATACGGAAAAGATTATCATTATTTTACCAAGACTACCTAAAAGTCAGCTTACGTTTTTTTTTAAAGAAACTAAATTGGTAAAACGTCTGAATTCATTAGCTTAGAAACTGTATGCCTTAATATGACATCTCATGGCTGCATGAAATTAGTAGTATTCTGATTGAGTACCATACATAAGCACATGCCCAAATTCATAGCTGACACCCAGCAAGAATTTTTATCCCAAAATGTGTAAAACAAATAGTACTGTAGCCATGACAACTTTAAAATAATAAAGCAGCATCTTGCAAGCAACTGTCACAATAAAGAGAAACTATTTCAGTTTAAGTTTGAAAAACATAAAAGAAACCCATTACATATATATATACATATATATATATATATAATATATATAAACTGACAACATATTTTAGTTACACGTGTAATCATACTGACCGAAAACCAACTCTTCGTGTGTAATGTAGGCAGTTCTTAGTGACGTGGGTCTGGAAGTGGACCGATCTGCAGATTGCTCCACATTCAGGACACGTATATGGAGATTTATGCTGATGAATTCTCTGGTGTGATGCAAAACTGCACTGGTTAGGAAGCAGCATCTGGCAGATATTGCAAGTCTTCTAAATGATAAACCAAAATAGATAAAACAAATGGTTTGGTTCAACGATATGCTTTCTTCTGTCAAACATTACAGCACATTTTAAAAAAACCCTGTGTTATGGTTGTGATATAAACCAACAAGAGCAGGCAAATTCAAATGTAGGCCCTAGTCCTGGATCCCTTTGTAAAACAGAGGCATCTAAATTGGACATTCTGGGCCTGATATAAAGTCCCCTTTACACACCACTCTGGCACTGTGAAAGAGCCTAAAGGTCCATGTGAACTATATTTATGCTCTTAACTCAGAGCACCACAGAAAAATCTACGCCACCAAAATAAACTTAAATATGGTGTGTTATCTTTACTTTTAGATCTCCTTGCTTATGTTGTTTTTTAATTGTAACATTCAGAGTACCACTTAATGGGGGGGGTGTTAATTTTTTTTAAAAAGGTGGTTTTAAATATATTTACCCACAAGACTAGAGTATTGTGTATGCATTGTAAGTATTGCACATGTAAATAAGAATTAAATTTATGTAAAACATTTCTAAAGCTTTTTTTTTTAAAAGGAGTCTCTGTAAGTGCAGTAGCCACTTTCCCAATCTCAAGCAATTATTTTTGGTTTTCAAATTAACTAATTAACTAAAATCCTTTAGTACATGATTGATCACTTGTCAAGTCAGAATCACGAGCACTTTTTGGCTGCTTTGTGCCATTCCAGTGATGGAATGCAAATGATGTAAATCGGATGTAAACACAGATTTAAATTGGATGTACAGCTCCTTTCCATCACTGAAGAGGCACAAAGAGGCTGAAGGGTACCTGTGAATCTGGCCCATATAGGTTTTAGTTACATAAATGCAAAAAAGCATCTCTAAATAGCTAGGCTACAATCCTGGACAGATTTATGCTCTGTGCTTGACTTTAAGCACATGAATAGTTCCAATGACTTCAACTGAACTATTCACATGCTTAAAATTAAGTACTGGATGTTAAGTCTTTGCAGAACAGGATCCCTAATTCTTCTTTTTAATACTTTGTTTGTTTTTTAATAACAAGATGGTTATAATAAAATAATAAAAAGTAATTAATATAAGTGATTGACCCAAGGCAGAAAGCTACAAGCCCCAAGCTGAAGCCTGAAATTAAACTAAAAACCAAAACCAGCAAATCTCTTAGGTCCTACACTTTAAACCAAGCTATAATATACATAAATAATGGATAGCTAATGTACAGGGCTTCTGGTGCTTTTTGGTATTTCTATTTTTTCTTCACGAAAAAAAATTAGAGTAAGGAGGTCATCGTCCGTGAGAAAGTATAACTTTTAAAATGTTCAATTTCTACTGTAATGGATTCTAGGGTCAAATTGTCAAAAGTGCCCCTTGACTTTCAGTGGGACTTATACTCTTGAGGGACTTAGGCACTTCTGAAAATAAAATCGAGTCTCCTAAGTGATGTAGGCGCTTTTGAAAATAAGACTTTTGAAAACTTTACCCTTAAAGTAATGAACTAAAACGCAAAACAAAAAATCCTCTGTCAATTTGTATTACAGACAGACTTATTGAACTACTGATTAAACAAAATTGTAATTATGAAATAATACAACACAGTGTGTTTATTCTTGCTGTAAAAGAGTCTGTCCCCCGCAAATGGTAGGCATAATATGAAAATGACCATCTCCTCTAATTCTGGACCATTTTCCTTTGAATAATTTTGTGTTTCATAGTAAAGTCCAAAGCTGCTCCCTCACGGTATGTTGCAATTCTAGTCATAACAGCAGAATCAAACTTGCAATTGTAAGCACAATAGTAGAATGTTATAAGTAGGACCCTACCAAATTCACAGCCATGAAAAACACATCAGGGTCTTTTGTGTACAGATTTCACGGGGGAAGACCAGCGTTTCTAAACTGGGGTTCCTGACCCAAAAGGGGGTTGTGGGGGGTTGCAAGGTTATTTTAGGGGGGTTGAGGTGTTGCCACATTTATTTCTGTGCTGCCTTCAGAGCTGGGTGGCCAGAGAGTGGCAATTGTTGGCCGGGTGCTCAACTCTGAAGGCAGTGCCCCGCCAGCAGCAGCACAGAAGTAAGGGTGGCCATATCATACCACGCTGCGCCGTTGCCTTCAGAGGTGGGTGGCTGGAAAGTGGCGGCCCAGCTCTGAAATAAGGGTGGCAATACCACACCAGGCCATCTTTACTTCTGTGCTGCTGCTGGCGGCAGCGCTGCCTTCGGAGCTGGGCTCCTGGGCCGCAGATGCCGCTCTCCGGCCACCCAGCTCTGGAGACAGGGCCGCCGCCAGCAGCAGCAGCAGCAAAGAAGTAAGGGTAGCAGTACCGCAACCCCCTCTACAATAACCTTGCGACCCTCCAACAACTTCTTTTTGGGTCAGGACCCCTACAATTAAAACACTGTGAAATTTCAGATTTAAATATGTGAAATCAAGAAATTTACAATTTTTAAAATCCTATGACCGTGAAATTGACCAAAATGGACCATGAATTTGGTAGGGCCCTAGTTATAAGTAGCTTAAATGTGGTGCTGACTCATCATTATTGGCAATTGAGTCTATGCACTCATGTAAAGTTAGGGCCTAAACCTGCTCCCACTTAAGTCAGAGTTTTGATACTAACTACAAGAACAGGCCCTTAATAGTTACTGTGAAAAATAACATAAAGGGGTTAATTTGTTTTTTAAAAGAATATTAGTAAATACCATGAACCAAAGTAATCCCTCAAACAATTGAACAGTTTGAGAATGTTATGCTTATTCTAACATGGAATATACTTTTTATTAATATTATGGTGATTCTCCACCAGGGTCACAGGCATGTTCCAATAAGGATTGCTTATCTGAGTAGGATTGCAGGATCAGACCCTAAATATATAAGATGAAATCCTGGTTTCATTGACGCTAATGGGAATTTTGCCTTTGACTTCAATGAGGCCAGTATTTCACCTGTAAAGGAATTCTTTTTTAAAGATGCTATTTTGTACGACTCTCTAATTTTAGAAACCTGACAAGAGACAAAGTTCATTTTTATTCCTTTCATAATGCAGGATCTCAGTCTAAATGGTTTTGAGGACCCATGCAAACGCAGAAAAAAATTACATATAGTTTTATTTTAAAGAAGAATGTTAAAATGAAGTATCTTGAACTCTACACTGAATTAGGGAGTTTAATTTCATGCAGCTCACTCTTAAACTTTACTTTATAATCCTGATGGCCCTATATGTTGGAACATGGCCTTGTTCTAAGCATGTGCCACAAAATGTCCTCATTTTACACACACACGCACACACACACACAAACACACACACACACACTTTAAAAAGCCAAATATTTGTTCTTAATTGTCCCAGTAAATAATTCCTGAAACACTGAATTATGACTTCCATTACTAATAGAACTAATGTGGGGTTTTAATTTTGTGTTCATCACAGGCTTCAGGGCAAAAGCCTGACTAACCGTAACTCTATTTAAAATGTTCTTACCACATTTATTGAGCTTCAGTACCACTGCCACAATTTATCTTTTGCCATCTACGTATTAACAAGCAGTAATACAACAGTGGAGAATCTGGAGTATTCTTTGATTACATAAGAAAATGGCAAAACAAAACTTCTTATTCCAATAATAGAAATATATGGATTTTTCATATTCCTTCCAAAGTATCTTTGTTTGCAGCACTACAAAAGAAAACCCGGATGTTACGCCACAGAAAAGCCATACACCGTTACCAATCCCACTAAGTATTCCTCAATTTCAGAAGTGCCAGCAAGCAGTTTGCATAATTAGTCTACAACACTAACACTCCAGAATGTCACGAAACTCCAGCAATACTAGTTGTCAAAGTAGGCAGTTTACTACTTTAACAAGTGTAGAAAATATGTGTAATTGTAGCTGCTTACAAGAAGACACTACCAGGGAATTCTACAAGCCAACACTTCTGCTTAACACTTTACGTTGGGCTTAAGGTGAGCCTGAATTTCCACATCTATCATTCCAACCCACATAAGAGCAAACCATGTTTTTCTCAGTGTGACAAACATTACAAGCATTCGGATCTAGGAGTAAGGAGGAAGAGGCTTGGGGGGAAAATGGTGGTGAGGAGAAATAAAAACCCACAAGACCAGTTAAGTCATATTAAGGGGTGGGCTACATAGCTTCCATGAGCGCTATGCAGTTATACCTCTAAGCCTATCTTACCTGAACATTTTATTACTTCAGGTTCACTATCTTCTCCATACAGCGCACTGACTCAATCCTGCACTTACACATGAGTGGGCCCATTGAGTTCAATGGGACTACTTACATGAGTAAAGTTAGGCCTTGTCTACACACTGTGGCAAATAACTCTAAGCGGGTTAATTTGTGAAGCACTCTAAATGCTCCACGTAGGCCCTGCTGGCATGCTCTAAACGGTACCTACTTCAAACTGACGTAGTGCTATACTGCCATGTAGATAAGCCCTTATTCACATATTCATCTACAGTATTAGACACATAGTCCGTTTCCGTGGTGGTTTGGGTGGATCTTTCACAAAATAATAAGGAAGAGTTCCTATAATATGTGGAGAAGGACCTCCATGTTCAAACCGTTAGACCGGTGGATTTTTTTGGATAGTTTTTAAAAGAAACCTTCTAACCTGTTTCCGAGAAATATTTTTAAAAAGAAAAAATTGTTATCTAGACTAAACCAAAACACAACATTTGTGCTAACTGCACTGCAAGAACAGTTAAAAGCACACTGTGAAGATTGGTAACCCCCAAATAGGAGTTACTGTGCTTTCTATTTGTTTGCAAAATCCAAATAATTCCACATGTTCTTCCCGGCTCCCCCCAAATCAATCCACCTTTTCTGACCTCCTCTCCACCCCCCCCACTGCCCCAAGAAACAAATCAGTCTAGCAACCCACATTCTTGAGCAACTTTACAATAACAAGCCAGTGCTAGGTAAAAGGAAGATCAAAAGTCAATAAAGAAATAATATTTCTCTTTCAAGTTTCTAAAGGGATTTATAATCAGAGAGAAAAATTCAAAAATTATTAATAAATACCTAGACAATGTCCTTCTGCAACAAACACTATTCCGACAACAATGCTTACACTGATTGATGATAGAGCACAAAAACATATCTTGTCAGAAAAATGTGATATACTGTTGTTGCTGAAGTGGTAGTGTTCTTTTAAGCTGCTTTCATGTTGGGCATTCCATCTCAGTTGTAATACTACTGAATGTAATAATGCACACATATAAAAAAGTGGTCAGAGAGGTTGCAACCATGTCTGACAAAGGAAAAAGACCACAATAAATAGGAAAAATAATTCATTTTTTTTAAAGAGGATTTTGCAAACAACAGAGATTTATAATATTTAAAAGCTATTTATTATCAGTGTCCTTTAAAAAAAAAAGAATTAAAATTAAAACTTTCTGCCCTTGCAGTGGCTTACTGAAATAATGGAGACCGATGTAGCTAAAATGCTTGGATTTTTTTTCTTTGAAAACAGAACATCACATGGCCAGACACTAAGGCTAGACCTTGTCAACACTTAAACTTTTAGAGGTTTTGTTACCAGTTAGAGACAGCCAAGTTGTTCACAGGTTATATGCAATACAGTCTAGTTTGTGTCCCTATAGCAGCTTTTCTGCCTTCATAACTGTATTTGAATGTCCACACTTCTGATTCTGCTTACTCATGTTTATATTAATACATTCTGGGGAAATCTGGGCAGCTGTCCCATAGGCCTCAGCAGAGGAAAATGTGTCCAAAAGACATGCACACAGCACAGAATAGCAGCACATTAGGCAAGAACATCCTAGTTTAGGGACAACTGGGAGGAAACAGCACAAGCCATGCCGATTATACAAACATGATTTGGTTTCTTTGCCCACCCTGGCAAAAACCACCAACAAAAACCCGGCATGATGGACCAGCATTTTTTTTCATGCTTTTCTGCTCAACTCTGTTCATTTTATCCTTACCTCATCTTCCCAGCCCACCCGCACTCCACATGTCCTGTCTGATATGTAGCTTCTGAGCTCTCTGGGGCAGGGAATGTCTTCTTTCTTACTTGCTTTTACAGTGCCAAGCCCAATGGGGCCTTGGTTGGGGTTCCTAGGCACTACCATAATATAAATAATAGTAATGGATTAGTTACAAAAAAGCCAACTGTACGCCAGCCTAGGCCTCTGACAGGGTTAGCTGACCAGTTACGGAGTTTGAATTATGTTGCGCATGGGCACAAAATATATTTAGAGTCAACCATGCCAATAACTGGTTCAACACTTGGTTCAAAATTATAGTGGGAGCAAAGGGTGAAAATTCACCATTCCATCTTCTTCGCCCAAAGCCTAAATAATCAGACTTTATGCAGGGATTGCTATAGCATTCCAAGGGTGGGAATCCACACATATCAAGCCACAGTAAGGCCATGAGATTTCACTGCAGGCTCTTTGTAACTATTATCCCAGCTAATAGCTGGAATAACATCTGCTACTGTGTCATATAATCCACGCAATCCTGGATTCAGTGTTTCCACACTCATCTACCTTTATATGCAGGGCTACTTCAGGTGATGTGTACAAAGTGTTGCTTCACAGACATCCTACCAGCACAGTCCCACAATGTGTCTTAAGTAGTATGGAGGCCCTTGTAAAAGCCACCTGCGTCTGTACTGTACTGTACTCTGTACTGTATCAGAGGATTTCTTACTAAGTGCAAAAGCTCAGCAAGTCTATCCCTGCCATTGCCCATAAGAGGAAGAATGTTATACCCACACTCCTGTCTCTGTCGATCTGAGTGTATTTACTGGCTTTCCATTCACACATAACAGGAAGTTGCAACACGAAAGCCAGCCACATGCTTTGAAATACAGTAGAATCCTTTTTAATTGGCACACCCCAGGGAAAATCCAAATATGCCAATTAAGCAATGGTCTCAATTATCAGAGGCTTATAGACTACACTGTGCATTGGTTTATTTCACTTTTATTTAATAAGTTTATGTAAATTATGCAATGTACACAACATTTTAAAAATACTATATTAAGATAAATTTGACTCATTTTAGCAATCATAAGAGAGAAAGAAAGCAGTAACAAGAAAACAAATGGGCACACAGCTGGAAATATATGCTAGCAAACACCACTTTTCAATCCTATTTTCAGAAGGCCTGCACAGCAGGCACATCATTTAAATAGAGTTAGTGTGCCATTTATTCATTGCCTAGAGTCACTGTAGCACCCAAATAAGCGCCTAGCACACTTACGGCACTATAAGTAATAGAAATTGAAATCAAATCAAAGACACAATCAACCATAAGACAATCGTTCCCATTAAGTGCGTGTGCTGTTAAGGAGGGTGCCAATTAAGTGGATTCCATTGTATATTTAAATTCCAAAGCATAAAAAAGGATCACTACAAGTTCTCAGTGAATATCATTACCGATTTCAGTATCTCAGGGCACAGTTCTCAGAATCTTCCAGGGCTTTGGAGCTGTGCTCCGGCTCCACTCTGGCTCCAGACAAAAGCCTGCAGCTCCACTGCTCCGGAGCTGCTTCGCGGGCTCCACTCCAAAGTCCTGGAAACTTCGCTAAATCTTAATTTTAAAAACCTCCACCACCCTTACAGATGTAAACTTTAAGACCTGGATCAAATCAGATTTTTCCAACAAAGTACACTCTAATTCTGAAAACAATGACATTCACTATTTTGTGCTTGCAGGTTTTTTTCCTATTTTTAAAATATTCTTTCAAGCATTTATTACTTCTCTCAAATGAGGTATGAATGTTTAAGTGAAAGCAAAAAACACATTCAGATCTCCTATTCTTATTGCTGAAACACTGGAATTTAAACATAAGATACTCTACTTGTCCACTTGTGTCTGCAGCCTGCTGGAAATGTGTAGCAAGAGATGTCTCATCTTGGAAAACTTCATTGCACTCCAAACACTTTAGACTATGTCTACAGAGTTTTGATGGGTCTTCATCTAGAGGCATAGCTGGAATGATAGGTGTACTTGCTGGGGCTGATATTACTGTTCCAGTTATGCCAGACTGTATCTTGGTTACAGTATGTGTGCCAACTCCCATTGGGCTTTGAAGAGTAGAAGATGCAGCAGTATTGCTTGAAGGAGACGCTATCATTTGATCTGCTGGGACTGGTTTTAAAATCAAATGTGAGCACTGCATTACAACTCCTTTTTCCTTATGTCCACGCGCATGAGAAAGAAGACTGCATTTATTGTAGAAAACTAAATTTTTTGTACAATGGTTACATGTCACTTCAATTCGCACACTCCTCCTATCATAATGCTGTGTCAGACTCTTTTCGAGAGCAAACGAATCACCACATTCCAAACACTTGTAACCACGTGTTGGTAATGTTATACCTGCATTGGCAGGAGGACTGAGGTTTGGGACGTAAACTGGGACAGGATTAACACTGCTCAGCACCTTATTGAATGCTTCCACTACAGAACTCTGCAGAGATGACACCACCTGGACACGTGACACTTTTTTAGAAGGCTGTGAGGCTGCTGCAGAAATTATTGCCTGCTTTATTTGTTGCTGAGGTTTTGTTAGCACTTGGCGGAGTTCAGAGGTGGTTTGAGCACCTTGAGGCAGAAGATTAAGGTTGGCAAGATGGACTGTCTTTGGCACAAGTTTAGCGCTGGCAAGGCTTGATGCTGGCACCACAACAGTCTGCTGCTGTATAGCATTTGCAGCTTTAATAATGGCACTACTGGCACTTTGCACAGAAGCAGCAGATATTACAGTGGCTTTCACCGTAGTATTGTTAGCAAGCTTCAGATTAATCACTTGTGATCCTGCTGTTTTAACTGCTGAAACTGGGAGAAAAGCAGTCGCCACAGGTTTAATAGTGACCTGCTTTGGCGCAAGTTCTGCAGATGCAACAGCATTGGTGACAACTGCTGACTGGAGAGGTGTCCTAGGAGGAGAAGAAAGAACAGCAGCAGAAGTTGGAGAGGATAGGAGAGATGTCATGGAAGCTACCATGGAAGCAGTTTGCTCTGGCTTTTTACCAGAGTCCAAATCAACTTCTGGCAACACCCTTGTAACTGTTCTCTTGATTTCCCCAGAAGAAGTCTTGATGGTTTTTATGCGAACTTTTGGAATGGCTGGCGTTGACCCTGCAGGAGAAGATGGAGACCCTTTGCTGCTGTTTTCACTTGATACACTTCTGGGACTATCGGGTTGTTTTATAGATGGTTTTTTAGCACCATCAATAAGACTCTGAGATTCAGGTGATTTCTCAATAGCCCGGGGACTTTCATTCATGTCTTTTGGTAATGGAGAAGATTCTCTTGAAGTAGACTGTAATTCGTTACTGGTATCTGTAGCTGCCTTTTTAGCACTCAGTGCTGCAATTGCAGCAATGCATGAAGAAAGCTTTGCTGATGACTTTGCTTTGGACTGTGAAATGCTGGCAAGATTTGTTTCACCTTTTTCAGCACCTAGTTTTCCATCAAGTACCCTGTTTTCAAGCAGCTTTTCAGAATTGTCTTTCATCAATTTGTCCTCTATTTTTCGGGCTTTGAATGGTTCATAGACACTTACATTCACAGAGTTTGTTTCTGTTTCTCTTTTAACACCTTTGTTTTTATCTACATTACTTGAAGCTGGAATTCCAGGTTTAATCAAGTTTTCCCCTCCAAGCATCTTTAGTTTGTCATATTCCTGCTGAGAAACTGATCCTGTTAACACATTTGCTCTGAAATTTGCACGCATCTCTTCTTTATCTGGAGGATCATCCACCTCTATTTTTTCATCATCATCAAATTCTTCAGCACTTGAGATTGGGCTAAACTGGTTGAAAGCTGACTCTTTCAGAGTAGCCTCAGAAGCTGACCCCTCCTCTTTCAGACACTTCCCTTCATCTTTACCATAACTTTCAAGAGCAGATGCTGTTAGAAAACCATTATGTAAGCCATTGCCTGTGGAATGGTGGCCATCCTTATCCACTCCTTCAGAAGACTCAATATTACGTACATTTTTCACAATGACGCTCACACCAACATCTGATGATGATGGCACATGAGAATCTTCATCTGTATGAGCATTCTGTTTTATGTGGTTTTCATGATCATCATGTCCAGACTCAATAGCTGCTTTAGGATCGACCATGTCTGGGATGTCAAAGGCTGCAAGAAGGTCGTCGAAGTCGGGGGTCTTCATATCCCCCATGGTCATGTATTTGTCTGGAAGCAAATCTGTAAAAAGAGCACAGAATCTTTATATCAGTACCTTAAACATCAAAACCATATTTTAATACTATATATCTATCTATCTATCAATAAAAATAATGCCCCTATACGTAGTTTGTAAATGTTTTTGCGAAGTGTTACCACACTTATTTCATCCATGAATGTATAGAAATGTTATAAATCACAATTTCTTTTCAGAGGTTAGAAATTATCCAGTAGCTGTCCAGGTCGAAGCGAACATGCCAAATGATTACACTGTGAGACCAGCACAAAAGAAGCCTTTGGGGATTATAATTTTCCCTTTTATTTTAGATTTACACTTTACTTTCAAAAGCACCCTACTCCTGTGCTTAAAGCCAGACACCTCTGCATTATGGAACTTAAAAACCTAGATCTCTTGCACATTTGTACTTTTCACTGTTAGTCAAACCACTGAACATACCCAAAGACTGTAGATCAAATGCACTCTTAAAAAATGGCATTGTTCCATCACACTATCCTCTATATGACGTGAATGTCCAGAATACTCACTTTTCATTACAGCTATGAAAGAGGTTCCATCGGGATTAATTCCAATTTAGTATATTTAGGTTGATAAATTCAACTCCAATTAAATAGGCAAAGGAGTAGAGAGTGAGGAGTGTTGCCCATTATTTGACATCTACTGACTGAGACAAGATGGGTGATGTCGTATCTTTTACTGGACCAACTTCTGTTAATGCGAAACAAGCTTTTGAGCTACACAGCGCTCTTCTTCAGGTCTGGGAATGGTACTCAACTGTGTCACAGCTAAATACAAGATCAAACTATCGGTGACCCTCTTGAGTACCTTTCCCAGACCTGAGGAAGAGCTCTGTGTAGCTCGAAAGCTAGTCTCTGTCACCAACAGAAGCTGGTCCAATAAAAGATATTACCTCACCCACCTTGTTTCTCTAATACCTTGGGACCAACATGGCTACAGCAACAGAGCATATCTAGTGACTGAATCAATTAAGGTCATGAGGTCTTTGCAGTACTGGACATTTGAACTGTCTTCACAGTAAACAGTTAACCTCAGTAAGCTATTTTCCAGACTATTTTCAGTCATCCACTATGGCCCCGATCCTGCAAAGATTTACACACATGCTTAAATTTATGTACTGTGAGTAGTCCCATTGACTGTTAAGTACTTTTGTTATGGTGGTTGCCCTTTGTTAACTGTGACACTGCCCTGCAATCTTTCCTTTTTCTCTGCAAGAACTAGGCAGATTGAAATTCCTTTGAGTTTACAAAAGGGTGGATTATTAATCAACTGCCCCCAGAACATTTTCACAAGGTTAGAGTATGAGGAGTACCTGTAAAGGTCCTTTTGCCCCCCTCTACTCTAGGGTTAAAATCCTGTTAATTGAGCTGCTTTTAAACACATAGCATACCAACACTATTTGCCTGACCAGTGAATGTAATGCAGAAACATTTTTCAGATGGTCTTTAAACAAACACACCCTAGACTAAAATACCATATTGACCTCATTTGTAAAGTAATGATATCTGGTCTACACTGGGCAGACAAGCCAGTTTTCTTTAATGAAAATGGAACATTTTTGTCTATAAGGAAGCAGACCCTCAGACTGTAACAAAGCAGCAAAAACTAATCTCAGGGTTTGTCCTAGGAGCTTCAGATGGACAAAAGTTCAACTACAGCCTTTAGAATACCTAGTGCTTGAGATAGGAGATCTGCCTTGTGCAAATTCATAAGCATCTGGGAAGAATCTTTGCAAAGGCCTTGTCTATTCAGGAAAAATTACCAGCACGACTATTCTGAAATAGTTATTCTGCTACTGCTAGTCCACTATAATTTAACTATTCTAGAATAACTCACCCATGTAGACACTCTATTCCAGAATAAAAATGATTTTAGCCTGGAATAACTACTCTGTTTCCAAAGCAGAGTAGTTACTTCAGAATAAAGTCATATTTATTTCAGAACAGTGAGTCTATGCAGGGATTTTCCATTATAGCTGCCTGTCAATTTCCCCATGCACACAAGTCCTAACTCTCTGAAAACCTGATAAGAAAGGGTCAGGAGCTTGAACTTAGTGGCATGCTTACTTCCTGTGCAAGATACGCAGAGGGCTCTGCTTGCTACCATTAAACCAGCTGTTTGACAGGATACAATTAAAAGGGAGTACTCGGTCCTGTTACATATAGTTAACAAGACCAGGGATGGTTCAGACAATGCTGCCACATCTGCAGGAGGGGTCAGGGCATGGGTTCCCACCTGAGACAGAATGAAGTACTAGTGACATGTTTATTGCTTGTGCATCAGTGCTTTGATGGGTACATGGTGTGGAGAACAAGGTGCTACTTATAGAACGAGGGCACTATTAGCGAGTATCATCCATTTATCACTAGGGGAAATCACACATTCCTCTATTTCTATGAACCAGAAATCTTCACTCACTACTCATTTAACTCCTCCCACAAATACATATATCTAGTCTAAACATAATACCTAGACTTCCCTTCCCCCACCCCATATCAGGCCATGGTCACAGCATGGGGTGGAAAGAGGAAAGAGCTTGCTTATTAAATTCTGGGCCTTGTATGCAAAGGGAAACAATAAAATGGCTTTGCAGGGGCTCCAGCTTTGTTAGTGTTAACCCTGAACAAAATACTACATCACAGATGGCTAAAAGTCAACTGGAAGATGTTTCTGTGGGAAGGACACCGTAGTTCTCAACTATTCCACTGACAACCCAACCAGAGAAATACAGGATGCTGGGCCACAAATTCATAGGATCTCCTACAGACCATATACACAGATTTTGGTTTCCAGTGGAATTTACAATATCTTAATCCCCTCATGGAGAGATATCACTAGCCAGCTGCTCAGATTAGGTTTACTGAAGCACAACTCAGGACATGATACAAGTAAAATAAATAAGTTATTAAACAAAAATAAAATAAAAACAAATTTACCAGGCTATTGTGGTGGCGGTGGTGGGGTTTTCCTTTTTGTTTGGGGGACTCTTTTGTTTGTTTGTTTCTGAAGGCGAAAAATGGGATAGGACTGCTTGAATAGGTTTTTTTTCTTCTTCTGATTTTAAAACAATAATTCTGCATACAGGAACTACAGCATGCAGCTCTGTGACTATTCAGTAGCCTTCCTGCCTCTCTGGTTCTTCCATCTGTACTGAAATATCCAAAACATGTTGTTTCATGCCTTTATCCTCAGCACTTTATTCTCCACATAATCAGCCAGTTGAGCTAGCCCATGCCTATATCTTCCATTACTGGTATACGAGGAAGATTCAAAGGTCTGAGCCTTAGGTGATGTAAATCAGTGCAGCTCCAATGAAGTCAACCCTCCACTATCTTTCTCAAACTTACCACAAGAGAGCGCTTAGGTATATGTACAGCAATAAAAACATAAAACAGGGCAAGACTTTTAAAAGTTTGTAACAGAGACCTTAGGCCCCCATACTTGTTTCAGATGTTTCTACTCACTGCTATACAGTTCTCTTGAGCTATTTAACTGCAAAAGCTGAGAATTCTGCTCTTCACCTTAAATTTGACACTTAATTCAAAATCTGCTTTTTGACACCAGTAAAAATGGTTCAGGATCTAAAAATGAATCTATACTAAGGCTTCAGCCACCATTAAAATCTGTTTGGCTTAACTAGTTTTAGAAACAGAGAGTAGAATTTTAGAAAAATGTCCCCCATGTAGAACAGCCCTACAAGTCTTGTCTTGGGCCACATCTGGAAGAAATCATCACTACTTTGAAGAGTGACAGAGGCTTCACTAATATGACAGATTATGTTCCATGGATCACACAGAAGGCTCCCCAGAACACAGTTAGAAAAGATGACGGGGGTGGGGGACAGGACTACATTTCAGATAATCAAGGCCGAGATGCAACAGAATTATTTGCTTGTGACATTTAAACATGTGTGTTCAGTTTCTGTAACTCATTTTATGTCACCACATGACTGGGCTCCCTTAAAAGTTTTTAAGATGAGTTGAGATGTGATTTTTATAGATGAACTGACCATCCATCCTGAGATGGGCTACAGTCTTGTTATAGTAAGTACAAGTGTTTGGGAACAAAATAATGCATATCTAATAGCTGGGTTTGGTGCCCCGATACACTAGTGAAGGACACCTTCAAAAGGCAGGCAGATAATATAAAAATCTAAAGACCAGGAAAATTGCCATCTTGTCTGTACAGTGACTTGAGGGTCCAATCCTGCCACTTTTGGAAACCCACATTTCTACCATTCAGCTGATAGCTACAAGTATCAGGAAGGAAGTTTCTACCCACCAGCCCACTCACACTGAATCCAAGACTGCAAGATCCAAGATATCTATGTCCAGATATCTTACTGGTGCTTGGGTATTTACATTCCACTGAAACATCAAGCATAGGCCATTTCTGGAGACAGGATACGACTGGGTCTGAGGTATCTTTGGTTTGATCTAACATGGAAAACCCTATGTGCTATGAAAATCAGGAGACAATCTTGTACAGCCCAGGAATTTAGATCTCATGTGGCAGGCAGTCATCTGAGAAACACATCTGCAAGTCTACTTGTAATAGGGCTCTACAAGGGTTTGGGTAGCCAGGGAGCATCAGCACTTTCACTGTACATCACTCTTGGTGAGCCAACAACTAGCCATTCCATGGCAAGAAATGGCTGATATCTGTGACAGTGGAATTGGTTCCTCAGCAGACAAACAAATGAGAGAGGCTGGAGACTTTCCAAGGGGTTTAAAGGAAAGTTTTAATATAAAGTAGAATTTTCATGTTAAATGTTGCAATTATTTAATCTAAGCAATAATTTTTATTTTGTACACAAACCCTGACAAAACTCTTTTTAAAAAGAGTAACAGTGAAACTCCTCACTACTAAATAAGCTCAGCCATCACCACGTTACGTTTACTAGCCTGCCACCTCAGATCAGTTGCCATGGACTTTGCAAGTGCTACTGTGGAGGTAAATAATCTTTTCTTCATAGTCGCAGCAT